TGCAGGTTCTGTGGCGAGGCAGATGAAACTACCGAGCATGTGGTCTGTCACTGTGACGCTTTGATCAGGGACAGATATCAACTCCTTGGAGACAGATACCTGGAACCGAGGAGGGTGAAGCAACTTAGGCTAAACAGGGTCCTATCCTTCATTGAGAGGAACGGGCTCTGAACTCAGTTGCGAAGAAAGGGGGTAGGCACAATGGGCCTCTGGTGTGCCTAAGTGCTGCCCGGTCGGGCTCCCCTGCGAATAGATAGAATAGAAGATACCCAAACGTCGAAATTTTCTCCAAATCAACTGATTTTCTCCTTTTAGTACGGGAGGTAGCGTCCTATTTTTACGGGTCATTTTCGCACAATTACTTTTTATTCTGCCTGGTAGTTTTTACTTAGTTAACACTTAAAACAAGCGTCAGCTGGCGCGACTGCGTGGCGTGATGGTATGAGAGGCGGGTCATTTTCGCACAATTACTTTTTATTCTGCCTGGTAGTTTTTACTTAGTTAACACTTAAAACAAGCGTCAGCTGGCGCGACTGCGTGGCGTGATGGTATGAGAGGCTAAGAAACGGCTTCCTAACAGGGAAATAAAAGTTGGTAGCGCCTGAAAAATAATCGCACACAATCATACCTACAGTCTCTCCGTGAGCAGCCGCAGCCGTGGTTAGGGCTATTAGTTTCCTTTTTTTGGTTTGTTTTGTCTATTTTGATTTATTATATGATACAATGGTATTATTATACAGTATGTGATACCACTCATGTATGACAAGCATGCATGGAAATAACCTCATCAGTTTATCTTGTTAGCTGCTGTTATCATTTCAAATGCTAACGCTACGCTACACTTTAGCTAACAGGGTATCAGCTGGATACGTCACATACAGTGTAGCGTTTAGCGTTAGCGGGCGCTAGCGCGCGCCGACTTTGAATTTTGATGACCCAGCTAACACATTTTTCCACGTTGTCGTGTCAGCTAACAAGTGGTATCCTTTTTTTTGTGCCATAAACTGATGAGGTACTCATTTCCATGCATGCTGATGTCATATTATTGGAGAAAAATATGATTGAAAGAGAATACATGCTCATCTTCCTACGCCAACGTTGTCTTCGCCAACTGATTTTGGATGGGAGGAACAAGGCGATAAATATATTTTCAAGTGGTTTGAAGGCGAACAGTTGCATGAAGTATTCTTTTGATTTTATTTTATATTAGGGTTATAATGTTTAGTGTTGTATAATTAGAGAATTTATAATATATAATTTATAATTATAAATAAATTATTTTGAGACCCGCTCATAGTTTGGGGATCTAAATCATCAATTTATACACGCCCGCCGTCTTTATTTCCAAAGATATTTAAACAATCTTCCACTGTTTGTCTTATTTTCTCCTTAGCTTCCTCGACCACAAGAGGGCTATTTTTTAATTTTTGGGCACGGCTTCCTAACAGGGAAATAAAAGTTGGTAGCGCCTGAAAAATAATCGCACACAATCATACCTACAGTCTCTCCGTGAGCAGCCGCAGCCGTGGTTAGGGCTATTAGTTTCCTTTTTTTGGTTTGTTTTGTCTATTTTGATTTATTATATGTCCTTAACGCACGTTACAAATTATAAAATACAATGTTTCATGTATAATATTATTATACAGTATGTGATACCATTTTACTCATGTATTCTCTTTCAATCATATTTTTCTCCAATAATATGACATCAGCATGCATGGAAATGAGTACGTCATCAGTTTATGGCGCAAAAAAAAAGGAAACCACTTGCTATCTGACACGACAACGTGGAAAAATGTATAAGCTGGGTCATCAAAATTGAAAGTCGCCGAGCGCGCTAGCGCGCGCTAACACTACGCTACACTTTGGACGCCCAGCTAACAGGTTTTGCCACATTTAAATATCAGCTGACAGTTATTTATGCTCTTTTTACATTGTACACTATTATACAGGGTGATTCCTATAGTACCTGCCACCGTTTGGGAGCGTGTAGGTGGTGCGTAGGGGAGTATTTTGATATAGGACACTTGGGGTCGGAAATCTAAAATAAGAGTGCCAGAGCCAAATTTACCTTCTGGAATTTCGCGCCTGTAGGTAGGCAACCCAACCGGCCGGCGGTGCACACGGAGCGATCTCAGGCGGCGATGTGTGGCTGACACTTGATCAGAATTTTGTTTAAACCCACGAAATCCCGTCTGCAACGACGCGTATCAAGTGAATAAACACTATGGCAATAGTATAATAATAGTTGGCTAGATGTAGGAAGTGCATTGAGAACAACGGTGGCCACGTTGAACACTTGTAAACGTTATTGCTTTTGACTGTCGTTTTCCCTCCTTCCCTCCCATGTCGCTTCCTCGCGCTAACTCGCTCTGCATCGCTCCGCGCGAAACGTCGGTCGGTTGGGTTGCCTACATACAGGCGTGAAATTCCAGAAGATAAATTTGGTTCTGGCGCCCTTATTTTAGATTTCCGACCCCAAGTGTCCTATATCAAAATACTCCCCTAGGCACCCCCTATACGCTCCCAAACGGTGGCAGGTACTATAGGAATCACCCTGTATATACCATTTTCAGCTTTGCGAAAATGGTCCGAAAAACAATTTTTTTTTACGTCTTTCGCAGTCTCTCGCCATCTTAAGCCACGCTTTTGAACCAGCTGACGCCCCTATCGTTGATAGGTTATGGATCAAAAATCTATAGTAGAAAGATGAACTTTGCGAAAATGGTCCGGTCAAATAGGACGCTACCTCCCGTACTATTTGGAAGATAGCAGAAATTTGGAAAATTGGATGGTGGAACAATAAAATCGGACCTTTTTTTATCGCCAGGTGAAAATTTGGTTACTCAAAAGTGAGTCTCGAAAGATGGTTGACGAGTTTGAATCCACAACAAACCGTGTGCCTCAAGTTTCTCGCAATTTATTAGATGAAATTTGAATGATTATTATTCTATTGTTACCCTTATCATTTAGGGTTTTGACAACCAATAAAATCAAAAATAAGTTGTCTTTAACCTTTTTGCTAGTTGCCGTTTAATGTAGATCTAATAACGCGCCGTATACACAAGAGAGGTGCACAGTTTTGATTGATAAACTGTTTTTTAACGTAACTAGCCACTCCAAAATATAGAGCAATGAAACGTTTTGCACCTTGGATCTCAACGCTTTCGTGGTAACAATTTGTTTAGATGAGACTACAAATACTACGAAACGGGACAAGCTTTATGTGAGAGTTTTGACCAATCGGGGATCAAAATGCAACAAGCACGTTATATGCGAAAGGTGAAGTGAATAAGAAATGAAAAAATATTTTTTGGTCAAACATTTTTTGTAAGTGCCACACAACCTGACCTGAGGGAGGGACAAAGTTGCCACAATAGCGGATTCTTAGAAACACGCTACAAAATAGTTTTGATACTTATCTGTATCAGCGGTGCTGTGGACAATCTCTCACCGGATCTCTAAACGATTTGGAAATTTCAATTAACCTGCAGGAAATACCCCCACATACACAATTTACTACTAATTAAAGATTTTTTGAGCCTCTGTACGACAATCAACATTCTGCTAAAAATCAAATGGACTATTTCAAATACACAAAAACCTTTAACACCTTTTTTAAATGCAAGGAAATTTCAAACGGAGAGAACTGGCAAAATGCTTGCTCATTACATTAATCTTAAGCCGCATAGTAGGTATCTATCACGCAGAATTGCCGATATATATTAAATTTTTAAGTGGGCGGAGTTTCAATCAAAACTACTCTACCAACCCAACCCACAATACCTTCCATGTCCGAACCCCAATTTGAAACAGAGACCCTCAGTATCGCAGTCGAACTCTTACTTAACTACAGCAAGTAGACTGGAAAAACCTCGGGAAAAACTCATTAACCTTCTAATAAGTACAAGAATTATTAGCATTTTTTTCTTTTCCTATTTGTTCCATCATTCTTTATTCCTTATGCCATTCAAAAAAATAGAAGAAACAAGAAGTAATTGACACAATTAGAAAAAATAAAATCTAATTTAAATTTAAAAAATCCAATTATAGTATAAAAACTCAGTACTCGGTACTGGTTAAAAATGACATTTAATTTTTTTTTGTCTCTATCGGTTGATCTGGTTCTAAATTTTTCGCCCATGCGCAAAAGCAAATTTCTTGCTTGTAGTCCAGGGAATAGAGGGTTTTAACTTGCAAAATGAGAAGTAGTTCCGATTTCTTTTGCATGTCATAGACAGTCATCTGGTGGTTAAGAATCTAAGTTTTCGACCTCCCATCCCTTGTGCTTCCCCCGTACCACCCCCAAAACCTCTGAAATTTGGTTGGTTTCTTAGTTTTTCAATCATATCTTTTTAATGGCTCACTTTAGAAAACATCTGCATACAAAGTTTAGAATTCTTCAAAATATAAGCAACTCTGAAGCTCAATATCGTTTTAATAAACACTTCACAAAAAAGTAGTGTATATCAAAGTTGTGTAGAATTTTATAGTCTACAATTTCTGATAACAATATTTTTTTGTAAAGTGAACCCGAGAGTGAACCTATAAAAAGGTAAAACTGAAAAACAAACCAAATTTCTTTGGTTTTAAGGGTGGTACGGGGGAAGCACAAGGGGTGGGAGGTCGAAAACTTGGATTCTTAACCACTAGATATTCTTCCATGACATGCAAAAAAAATTGGAACTACTTCTCATTTTGCAGGAAATGGTCCATTTTCAGTCTCTATTCCCCGGACTATTGATTTATTCAATTAATTTGCAGGAGTGTGGTGCTAAGGGTCCCTGGTTCGAATCCGGGTTTGGGCATGGATATTCGTAAATGTATAGTAGGTTGGGTTGGTAGCCTTGGCTGAAACCCCGCCCACTCAAAAATAAAGACAAAAAAAAATAAAAAAATAATTTGAAAAATGTGTTAAATCTAATCACTGATTGGACGTTTATCATTAATTATTCGTCGTGACATCCAACGACCTTGATGGCTGTACGCCATTATCTCACCTATAATTGTAAGTTGATTGAGTCGATCACTCAGTCGCTTCTTTTCATCCAACGCCGTTTCTAGCACGCTTTGCAAATGTTTCTTTTCTACCTTAATCGCATCAATGTCAGACAGCAACTCCTGTTTGTCGCGCTTCATTTCCGAAAGCTCCTTCTCCAAACTTTGTATTTGCAATCGCAATTCATGCACCTTGTCTTCCAGCCTGATTAATTAAAAAATGATTAAAAAAAGTATTCCAATGTACCATAGATTTTTTAAATACCTGCTTACTTTTTCTGTTGTGGATTTCACGGCCATATTACAATCCGCTTCGACAGTTAAGGCCATTTGATCGATGTCGCGTAACTCGTCTTCTAAATGCTTATTTCGGTCAGCCAGCGAGAGTGCGCGTTTCATCGCCTCGTGCTGTTTTCCGAGCGCCTCCTTCAAGCGAACCTCCAATTCCGCCTTCTCCTTTTGCAGAAAACTGGCTTGTTTCTGCAGCTGCGTCACCAGGCCCTCGGATTCCTTCGGACAATAATCCTTGTACACTGCGGCCATCGGACGACCGCCTTCCAGCATTTGTGTTAATCTTTCGATTTCTTTATCTCGGTTAAAAATCTGCGACTTGTGCGATTCGTTTATTTCGTACAGGTGGGATATCTCGTCTTTTAGTTTGCCAATCTCTTTGGTCAATTTGAGAATTTTTTGATCGGCGAGTGCCATATCGGTATCACTTTTAAAAGTCAGTTTACTTTTAGAACTTGTTGCAAAAGCGTTGGTCGAGGATTTTGATCCTGGAAATCGAATACAATAAAGAAATTTGCATCTTGGATAACTTATAGATGATCAACAAGGGGTGCCACACTTCAAAAACTAGATATACAGCCATAAAGTATTCACCAATTAAACAAGGACGATAAGTTAAAGTAAATTACGATAAGGTCATTTTAGTTTACGTAATTTTATTTTTATGAAAAAAACTGGGTGGTTCGTTTTCTTGTTTAATTATGTATGTCAAATAAAATATGCGAAATTATTGGTTTCATGTAAATTTTAGCTGATAAAGTTCGTAGATTTTTCTGTGTGTACAATTTCTTTATTTTTTGAGTTTATTTTTGTATAAAATGGATGTGTGCTAAAAGTTAATAGAATTGAATAAGCCAGTAATTAACAACAGTTTGTTTACGTTGATAAGTGTTTAATTTCGTGAAAATAGTGCGTCTTAGGAAAAGTTCAAATTTCAATTTTATTTTGTTGTAGAAAATGGTATATGTATAAGTACATCGAAATATTTTTGGATTCTAAAAGAAGAAACAATGTTGTAGGGAAAGTGACATTACATTTTTGTAGATTGGTGTAGAATTCATTTCTAACAGTTGAGTGATTGTTACACTCCAACATAAGGTGTTGCATTGAACCTACACTACCACACAAACATATTGGAGTGTCTGCTAATTTTATTTTATGTAGATGTGTAGAAAATCTACCATGATTGGCTCTCAATCATGGTTGTTTGGCCCGGGTCAAATTTTGGCAATTGACCCAGGGTACAAGGTCAAATTTTGGCAGTTGGTCCGGGTGCAAGGTAAAATTTTAGCAGTTGGTTCGGGGTGCAAGGCCAAATTTCGGCAACTGGTCCAGGGTTCTTTGGTAGTTAATCAGGAGTGCGAGATAGTAGGTATTCCGAAACTTGACCCTGGGAAATTTTTTGGGAACATACCTACTCTTGACCTGGGGTGCGGGGTCAAATGTTGCCAGTTGGCCCAGGGTACAAGGACAAATTTTGGCAGTTGGTCCAGGTGTAAGAATACATTTTGGCAGTTGTTCCATCAGGGTGCTATGGCAGTTGGTCGGGATGCGAGATGCTAGGTATTCCGTCACTTCAGGATGGGAAAATTTTTTGGACAATGGGAAAATATTTAGGCAGTTGACTCTGGATGCAAGGTTAAATTTTTGCAGTTGGTCTGGGGTGCAAGGTCAAATTTCGGGAACTGGTCCGTGGTTCCTTGGCAATTGATCCAGTATATGAGATAGTAGGTATTCCGGCACTCGACCTTGGGAACATTTTTTGAACCATGGAAAAATACCTACAGTTGACCCGCAGTGCAAAGTCCAATGTTGACAGTTGGCACGGGATGCAAGGACAAATTTTGGCAGATGGTCCGGGTGTATTAGCAGCTGGACCAGGGTGCGAAATAGTAGGTATTCCGGCACTTCACTGTTGGAAAATATTTTGACAGTTGGTCCGGGTCAAATTATGGCAGTTGACCATGGTGCTTTGAAAGCTGGTTAGAGGTGTAATATAGTAGGTATTCCGGCACTTCCACTTGGAAAAATTGTTTGCACTATGGGAAAATATTTCAGTAGTTGGCTCGGATCAAATTTTGGCAATTGGCCCATGGTGCACGGTCAAATTTCGGCAGATGGTCTGGGGTGCGTTTGACAGTTGATACGGGGTGCAAAATAGTAGGTATTCCTGCATTTGACTGTGGGAAAATTTTTTGGACCTGGGGGGGGGGGAATTGACGAGAGTTTGAGACGTATTTGACTTGAGAGAAACAATGAAGTTTAGAGAAACTTGATGGGAGCAAAGCAAGATATAAAAATTGAGCGAATGTTTGTTTCGAATCCACATAAATACAAGCTTTGACATATAAAGGTCTACTGATAAAATCAGTGGCGTAGGGTCTATTTAATCATATTTTGCTTACATAAACAAGCATAATAATAAGGTCCGTTTGAAAATAGTCAGAAAAACTTAAAGAATCCAAAGATTTTTTAAAGATTTTTAAACTTTCAATTGTCTCTTTACTGTTTGAGCGATACAGACAACACAACACGTTTCCTATCAAAACATCTCAGACCAACTAGCAATCGAATTCTTATTAGTTTTCGCCTTGAAACGATAATGTTGTTTTCTGATTTCAGTTTTATAATTATACATTTTTACAGTTTTCTGAATTATCCGCTCAGTCCACTCTTTTGTGTCAGTTGATTTCCTTCTTCCAAATTTCCCGAATATTTGAAATACATATTTTAAAATTTGACCAATTTTCAGAATTTTAGAGATCTTACTTTCGAAATTCATACCAGGGAGAAAGTAGTTTTCCAATTTTTCTAGATTTTCTAGATATTGTTTAATTTTTTTCATTTTTTAATACAAATCCTGAATTTCCGAATTGTTTTTAGTTTTTGGAATTTTTTAACGTTTCTAATTTTTTTACATTTTTTTTTTATTTAAGTCCCTTTTTTTGCTAGATATTTTTCGCGATATTTTTTAAATAATGTTGACTCTATTTTTAAGGCTCTTTCTGGATTTTCTCAATTCTAATCGTGCCGCCTTAGAGAATTTATTTAAATTTTCCTAGTTGTTCTGAAGTGTTTGAAATTGTTTTATCTTTACTTTTTTGCGTTTCCAACTTTTTTAAATTTTTGCCTGAATTTGTGATACTCTATATTTTAAGACTTGTTGAATTTTCCCAATTCTATTAACTTTTTTTAATTTAGGGAATTTTTTTTGTATAAGTACAGTCTGGTCAATCTAAACTGAAGAATCGGAAGATAAAAATTCAAAGAAACTGAAAAACCTGAAGTATCTTGATCTCGATCTTGATAACCTAAAATATCTTATGGATCCTAAGAAACCTGAAAAATCGGCAGAACCCAAAAAAATGAAACTCTCGGCAGAATCATAACAATTTTATTTTATGCATCTGAGAAATATGAAGAATGAAAAGGATTCGAAGAAACGGGAAGAACTCGAAGAATAAAGATGAATAATATGAAGAATCTGAAGAAGAATCCAAAAGGTCTGAAACTGGAGAATGAGAAAGCTCCAATCAAATAAAAATTTTTGAAGAATCAAAAGGAATCCAAAGTGTCTCAAACTTCTGAAGAAATGAAAGCATAATTTGTTGATATATAAAGAATCTGTACATTAAATTCCAAAACAATTGGACGCATTTTTTACCAATCTCTAATGAAACACACTGTACAATAATATAAGGTGTATGGACTCCTTATCCGCAGCACAGTCAATCCTGTTAACAATCAATCCAATCTAAGATGAGAAACATCAGCACAGTAGTCTTAAAGAGTTTTATTTCGAAAATCACAATCGCGTGCATTTATTTCAAAATTTGGCAAACTGAAATGGATAGAAGATAAATTGTAGAGGACTAAATTATCCACACAAAAAAAACTGTGGAATGGCATGTGGCTATTTTAAACCGTGCGTGTAAATGTATTCCCCTTTGAAATAGTACCTAAGTAAAAATTACATCGTGCGTTAAATTTATAGATGTACACATTTTTTTGAAGTGTTACACCCCTCCTTACATTTTGCAAATTTTTCCTTTCGGACACACCTGAATTTTTGTTTAACGACAACAAATGATCGGTTTTCTTTGCAGATTCGTATTCCAAATCTCGAATCCGCTTTTTCAATTTTTCACATTCAGCGCCGATTTCGAGACCGTCTCGTTCAAAGCACAATATCCGACGTTTTAAATCTACAATTTGCAAAGTTAATCTACGTAATAAGTACACTAGATCTAAAGACCTTTCTGTAGCTTTTCATTCTGCTCTCTGAATTGTAAAAATGCCAAATGCAAATCATTACACTCCTTCACAAGTTTAGCGTTATCGCATCTGTAAGGTTCAACTCCATACTGAAGGGTGTCACGTTCCTGAAATGAAAAAAAAATTAAAACTGACAGTTAAACCAAAGCACTCTTTGTACCTCAATGGTTTCCTTCGCAAGTTCTTTATACTTTTTTAAGCTTTCGGTTGTTTGTATTAAGTCAGCAGTCAGCTTTTCCACGAGTGGCAACGATTCCGGAATTAACACTTGCATATAGCCCAAGCTGTCTAAGTGTTTTCGAACACGCCTAAAACGTTCTTCCATTTTGTTACAATATTTGGTCTTAAGATTAAAAAATAAAAGCACAAATATGCAAATATTATAAAATAGAGTTTATGTTAATAAATCTAAAATCTCTTCTAATTGCCCATGACGAATATACAATAAACTGGCTTCGTCTCATCATACTCATTTATTTAAAATAGAATAAAATCAATTCGTTGGAATGAACAATACAAACAAAAATTTTAAATTTCTTTGGACGGTTTAAAATGTGGTTAGGTTTTTTTCGCGTCTAAAGAATCACTCTCTCGTAGCGGTGGTTACCTAAGCACACTTTGGTAGCGTCCATTGTCAAGTCCGATTTACTTACGGATGTAAAGAGTAAAAGCTATATGTCTTTAGTTTATGGCCGTTAACACAGACAAAGTTAAGCTGAGCTTAGCTTAAAATCCATGGCAACAATTGTAGTAATAATTGTTGCCAAGGATTTTAAGCTATGCGATGCGTAAGCTTTAAGGCCCTCTTGAATTTGTCGGTGCAAACGGCCATTATGCTGGACAAAACTCTATCAAAAGCATACGATAAAATCGCTCCAGCTAAAGCTGTCGGGATTTTACCACAAATGTATACAGTGATATAGGTACGTACATACTAAGTACGTAATTATTAATTTTATCAAAATGCCCTAATGTTGCGTACTCAATAACAAATTGAAAAAAAATGTAACCCGGTCGCATACTCCAAAATGGCACTTACAACACATCTTTTATGTGGGCCATTATATCAATATTTATTCTATCTCTACCAGGGATTTTCAAATGGGATGAGTGGGAGAGAAAAAGGAGTAGAAAAGAGATAGACGCAAGGAGGACGGAGAGAAAGCGGTAGCGGGTGATAGAGATTTAATAAAAACGGAGATATTAGAGAGAAAATAAAAGAGGAAGTAGCAAGACGTGAGGAGAGTGAAAGAAAAGATATCAGAGGAAACGAAGGGAGAGAAAGATATATTTGTATGTACGATATGACCAGTATAGACTAAAAATAGTACAATAAGGTCGCTACTTTTATGGTCCAGTACCAATTAGATTTATCGGATCTATTAATTGGAACTTAAAAGCCACATAAATTAGATATACACTCATATACCTAAACCTAAACATTATAGCTTGTTTAACCTTAGTAAAAATGTTTACTATTGATTTACACAAAAAAAGGGTATTCGAAAAATATCGCATTGGTCCCTCCACAGGTCGCATTTATCTACCGATTCGAACCGTTTCAAAACCAATACGCCCCAAATGTTATCCGGTTGGGGCCAATGCCTTTTCTGGTTTCTATCATTGACTAATACCCCAGTCAATATTTCTATTAAGCTTCGATTTGGGAGCTTTAACTTCACGTTTGGTTCATCCCAAAGCGCCGGTTCTGTTTACCAAAAATGGCCCACTTGGCACTCTAGATCCGATCTTGCGGTTTCGTATGTCGGGCAAGCCGGAGATCTCACACATTTCTCTATCTATTCTCCCCTACGAATAGATAGAAGGTGAAACGAAACAACTTCGACTTATTCTCGACGGTAGGCCCACGGACGTCGGTCAGAAGACCTCGCTAAATCGTTCGATCGGTAGTAGCGACGGGTGGCGTGTACAAAAGGGCAGGGACGTAATCAACGCGAGTTTCTGACTCGCGCTTACTGGGAATTCCTCGTTCATGGAATAAGAATAGAACGCCTATTTCTCCACCTGCACGTTAGAAGGGAGGTAGATATTCCATTGGAGTAAAAAGTGACGCCTCCACTTTTTTGACGGAAATACACGTCTTGAAGCATCAGGAATCAGAATCAAATAAAATCTTGATGTTGTCGGTCTGTACTCTCATTTCCGGATAAACTGATTGGAACCCAAATTGCTACCTACACATTCTTGGACATAAAAGGAAGAACTGAAAAACTTTTGGGCAGAATCGCGCATGCGCAAGTGTGTCAAACTTTCATTTCCAGCTAAACGACTGAACCAATAGGATTCAAATTTAGAACACATATTCTTAAAAGCCGCTTTACATTAGGCAATTTTCGTGCAATGCAAGTTAGAGATACGTTACTGCGCATGTTCATACGCAATTCAGGTGCAAGAAAAATAAATAGAGAAAGTTCTATTTCACTTGCAAGTTTGGCGCAAGTTCTAGTAACTTTTCTAGTAATTTTGTCAATACCACAATTTATTTGGTTTCGCGTGTGTTATTTTGTGTGTTTTTTTTAATAGCAAGCGCCACCACATAATAAGCTGTAGCCAGCTTAATTTCCTTTTGTTTGCTCATACCTAATGGTCAATTTTATTAAGTTTCAAGAATAACCTTCGGTGTAAACAAACTGAAAAGTTTCAATTTTTGAAAAATATGTTGTCAGTACTGCAACACTTTTCTGAACTTGCACAAAAGTTGCAACACAATTGCATAAATGTAAAACCGTAATAAGCAATGCAAGGCAATTTTAGATTGCATAGCACAAGCCTTGCATTGCACTAAAATTGCCTAATATGTAAAGCGGCTTTAAGGCAGGAATAGATTGGCAAGTCTTCTCACGCTAGTTGCTGTTTGACAACACTGTTCAGGTATAAAACCACTGTCAACTTGCAACACCTGAACAAAATCGCGCATGCGCAGGTAGCATCTAATCTACCCACAGCAATTTTTTATGGCATTTCTTTACAAAAAATATTGCAAAATAATACTATGTAAAACTGATTTATTCGTTTTAGAGATTAAATCTAATTATAGTAGGTAATACATAGCAATGACTACACCTCCCTCCAGCGGCATCCCGAATTGACTATATGCATAATTAATGAGCATTTCCTATTATCATCTATTAACAGCATCTACTAATAAGAAGTAAAATATTGCTGAATACCGTGTGGTTGTTTATACTTATAACTTATTATTCACTAGTCATGCTTGAATAACAGCCATTGCTTCAGCACGTTCTTCCTCAAGCTCTTTGCCAGTTGCTGCTAACATGTCAAGGTAAAAGTCATCAATCTTAAGACCTTGCACAATTTTCCATTGCCCATTACTAATAGTAACGGGAAAAGAAAATACGACACCTTTTGGTGCACCGTAACTGCCATCACTTACTACACCCATAGAAACGAACTCATCCGGATCGGTTCCCAGGAACCAACTACGCATATGATCAGCAGCGGCGGTCGCCGCTGACATCGCAGATGACATTTTACGAGCCGCAATTACGGCTGCACCTCGTTTCTGCACGGTTTCGATAAACTGCTTTCTTAACCAAGCTTCGTCCTTTACAGCTTCAGAGGCCGAAACCATTTTTCCATTTACGTTAACTTTAGCATGGCTAGCATCAGGAACTTGAGTGGATGAATGGTTGCCCCAGATGATGACGTTGGAAACACACGGAACCGGTACATTGGCACGAGCCGCAATTTGCGCTCTCGCTCTGTTATGATCAAGTCTGGTCATTGCTGTGAAATTTTCTGCCGGAATCGAAGGTGCATATTTAGAGCAGACTATCGCGTTTGTGTTTGCCGGGTTACCAACAACCAAAACTTTAACATCTTTACGTGCGTGTTTATCTAAAGCTTCGCCTTGAACTTTGAATATTTTCACATTGGCAGATAAGAGATCTTTACGTTCCATTCCCTGTTTACGGGGCATTGCGCCTACTAAGAAAGCGGCCGAGACGTCATTGAATGCAACAGCCGGATCTGCGGTAGGAACAACTTGGCGTAGTAAAGGTAGGGCACAATCCGCCAATTCCATGACGACACCTTCTAATACCTCCATCATAGGGGGTATGTCTAATAAATGTAAGATTAGGGGTTGATCTCGACCGAAGACATCTCCTTTAGCAATGATGTACAGGAGGGAATAAGCGATTTGTCCAGCAGCTCCAGTTACAACAACTCGGATCGGTTGTTTATCCAAATGAGACTGAAAATGCAAGTAGTTATATAATAAATCAATTTGTAAAGTTTTAAATGGCCATGATAGGAAATTGGAAATATGAATAAGCAAGGCCACATTAAAAATAGCATATTTACTTACTTACCATTTTTCAAAACTTTCTGAATAGGCTGTTTGCAGAAAAATAGAAACGTAACCGATAATGGTTGATAACTGAAAGAAACTTATAAAAATCTTTAGCCAACTCGACCCGACTTTCAATAATCAGTTAAAGACACTTTGAACCGTTTCAAAATTACTTGAGATTAATTTATCTTGTCAAGTGTCAACTTGGTTCACAATTCTCATTTAAAGTAGTGTTTGTGTTTGCCCTTGGTAATAAAAGGTCGTGCCGGTCCTTAAGGGGGGAAGAATGGTATGAAACGGTCATATACAGGGTGTTCTCATGTTTGTCATTCATATTGTAATGTGACATTTTTTATATTATTTTTGGGTCCACATCAACATTTAATACATTTTTATTTTTGCGTCACCAACGATAAGCGTCAGCCGTCGCACGCTAATCCGGTCTTTACTCATTTATAATGTTCCATAATTCCACTCAACTCAAGTGACTCATAAGTGCTGCGCTGCTGCCACATCGTCGCATGCACATATTAACGGGAGATCAAAAAGGAGTTGCTGTCGAGTCGCCTTTGGAAGTTAAGTACGATTTCCCGTGTAGGTAAAGAAAAATTCCAAAGGCGAGTCGACAGCAACTCATTTTTGATCGCATATAGTACATATATACTGCATTCATTATAAGAAGGTAGTAGATGGCGCGGTGTTTGAAGATCGACACACACAGGAAAAATATAATACGGCACAAAATTTGAAAAATATAAATATAAATCAAACTATATCACGCCTGGATCTTTGAAATTGACAGCTAATGACAATTGGACAGTTTAGTTCGTAACTGAAACTTCTAAAAGACAGAATTCGTCACTCGTTTTATTTTTCAGGGTAATACTGACTCGTGTTTTAACCAATCACAGTGAAGGTCAAACTGTCCCTATGCTTTCTACCGCTACCTTCTTAAAATGAATAGCGTATAGTAAGATCATTGAAATCAACCGACAAAAGTAATGATAATCGGATGCTTATTGCCACTTAGGCAACCAACCATACATTATCTAAACTGGCAACGTTGAAGCGTAAGTTTCCCGGCGGGAATTCGTGTGGAATGGGCCCGATGTAGATGTGGCCGCACAGCATCGCGCATTGTCGTGCTTGCTTCGGCGTTTATTCTTCGCTGCCTTGATATAAAGATAAACACTACAGACTACAGCAGATATAATTACGAGAATTGGTAAATCCTTTTTTAATTTTGCATATTGGTTTTCAAAATTCCCAAAATACCTACTACTCCCTCTATATCAAGACAGTGACGAAGAAATTGCTAAGAAGGGGCAAGGAGCGCCGCGTGCGTCCCATAACAATGGAAATGTTAATAAATACCTTGTTAATTACCTATTCGATAAGCAGTGTGTTCATATTATGGTTCTTCCATTAAAAGGAAATATGATTTTAAATGCCGAGGGAGTAGGTACAAATTACCACTTCATCGGTTACTTGAAAAGATTCATTGACAATAAATGACAATAAATACAATTTTTTGACTTGCGGTTTGGCTGGAAACAACCCAAATTTTTAAAGAAATAGAACATTCTGTTTCTTATGATTGAATATGCAATAAAAAAACACAAGTACTATTTAAATCATTCAGTTTTATTTTTTTACTGCGTTTACCTGAGCCTTTTTTGTCAGTGTGTAACAAAACTGGATCACTAAAATAACTAATAAGAACTTGCTCGAAGGGTTTTAGCAAATTTTTGTAATTATACCTACAAGGCAGTGACGAAAAAATGACGAAGCAAAGACGACAATGCGCGACGCCGTACGGCACATGCACATCTCACACGAATTCCCGCCGGAGAGTTACACTTCAACCATTGTTTAAATATTTAAACAATGCTTCAACGTTGTCATTTTAGACATTGTATGGTTGGTTGTCTAAGTGGCAGTATGTTCCAGATTATCATTATTTTTATCGGTGTTTGTATTATATAGTACATACAATGCGATCAAAAAAGACTTGCTATCGAGTCACCTTTGGAATGTTTGTTTATATAGCAAATCAGATTCGTCTAACAATGAGAGAAAGGGGGCCCTCTTCTCTTCTGTTCTAATGTGCGTGTTTGTATGTGGAATGTGCGACGGTCTAATTTAACTTGCATACTTATTATTGGCATTTCTACATGTAGGTACTTCCCATCTTAATTTATGGTAACCGTTTGGAGTAGAATCACGCCATTTTGATGTTTTTGGATGTACATGCAATGTATCATTTTACAAGTTGTTTTATCGTAAGTACATGTGTTTTTCATTTGCAGTTATGTCTATTGTGTTTTGTTCTGACAAATTTGTTTAACAACATTTGATTCGTTATCTCATTTTTATCGCACAATTTGATGTTGTATTTATGTGTTTTTAAGGATCCCCAGATCCTTCATAGTTTTGCATTGCTGTCCGTACGTCCGTTCGTCCGTGTGCGCTATAACTCTTTTTAAATGTGGCCGATTGTGTTGGAATTTAGTGCACGGGTACTTTGGATATTAAGGACGGAGGATTTGATTTTTAGCAAACTGGTTTAACAGGAACAAAAGTTATAGCACTTCGAGTGAATCAGGAACAGGAAAAAATGATACGGACTCAATCAATCTATATATTTCATTCCCTAGGTCATGTATCGAGTTCGTATACTTTCCTAGATTTTCCCTATGACTTAATGTGTAACAATTCAATATAACTCTTTTCTATGGTCTAGGACGTCTAGGTCAAAAGCTTTAGACCAAAAATGTACCTACTCAAAATTATTGTTTACACAAAAGTTTGGAGTTGTAAAAGCTTTCAAACGCATTATCGTGATGCCGAAAGAGTACATCACATGCACATTTGATAACCGCATGTGTGTGATTCAATTTTCAAAGATGTTAAATTCTTATTCCGAGGCCATATATATATGGATTTTGATCAAAACATGTAGAAATCGTTAATCTTGCATCGAGATCTTTGGGAAAAAGACCAAGAGTATTATCTCAATGACTAAAACACGAATTTGATGAATTTTTCCTACCGCATGGCACGTTAAAAAATCGAATGTGCACTTAATAGAGGCGCTTTCTTTCGGTGATCCAAACGCGTTTGGATTGTCAAATCACGTTCTTTCGAAGTGTGATTTTATAATCATGATTGCTAAAATCGTGAACAAACTGAACATGAAAGTTTTATGATCACAAATTCCCTATAAATGCAAGGATATTTTTGCTCAAATGTTAGGTTAGTCAATTTTCGTAACTGAAGAGGAGCATATAATCGTGCAAGTACTTCCACTTGTATTTAAATTATTTTCATAATCCAAAAAAAAATACGTAACTCGAATGCAAATGTCTACTTCGTAAACTTAACCATACTTTGATTTAAATTCGCGCGTTCTTTCGTAAAAAGTGATCCTACGAATCACGATCTCGAAATCATGATTGCGAAGTAGTCGAAAGAAAGCGCCTTAGGATTGACGTCCCGGTATGTATGTTGATGTATGTGTGCATGTGGAACCGATGGTGTCAATGGAGCCACAGTTTGACGTTTATTTTGCCGATGGTTAACTTCACGCTAAATTAATATCCGGTTTCCTTACCTCAAGACGCCAAACGGCAAGGTCAGGTTTTTTTCAAGCAGGTGAGCCGATAAGTAAAAATTTTGAATAAACCATGACATTAGTTAACGTGCATTTCGATTCGAAAGAGCATTTCTCTACTTTTAACCAAAATTTAACACGATGCCGGAAAATTACTACTGGTAGTATGATTTTTCTTAACATATTTTTGCTGCATTCCAAATTTTCTTGAACAGTCCATTTGATATTGCACTAAAATAATCAAATTTCTACGAGTTCTTTTAAAAAATCATGCTTTATCAAATGAGGACGTGTAAAAATAGTATCTGGAAATTTATAACCTCAAGTGTTATTTTTTGCTAATACTAATTTCACACATTTCAGCTATGACAATTTTTTCCACAAAGTAACGAACATGGAATCACCCAGGAAGAATAACGACTGTTATTTTTATTATTATTCTACTTGTAATAAGGTAGGTTTTCGCCGCGCCACCTGAACGTTTGCGATTTTATTTCCTATTGTAGGGTGATAGCTGCACATTTCGACATGAACCTTCTGCTTTAGGCTGTGAAACGGTGTGTTCTTTCTGGAAAGAGGGCAAATGTCTGAATGTACATTGTAGTTTTCGTCATATGGAATTAAGGGTAAGTCGGGTCAGATCAAGTGACACCTTTAGTGCGCTTTTATTTAAATTTTAGAAAAATCGGAAAGCAATACCTTGTTACTGGGAAAGTCAGCCGGGAGGTTGTTTAAAACCACACTGTCCATTTTTACATAAAGGAGCTAAGGATTCATCATCGGATACTTTAGAATCTTCCGACCTACAGTCGCCGGAACTTAGCATAGCTTTGGGTAAGTTACTTTAAATACCACTAATAATAATAATAATATTGGCCATCTTTTTTTATCTGTTTAAGAACTAAAACAACATAAGTTAGAGAAACGCCAGTAATCGTTTTTCACTGCATGGATCTCGATTACGGCAAAACATGAAATGCGGTTTCTCATATTCTGGGTACTTCGAGCAAATTATTAGAATATCTGATAAACTCGATTGTTTTTTGCAAAACGGTTTTTGGCCGTTATGGAGTGGCTAAACTCTTGTTTTTATAAGAAAGGTTTCGGTCTGAGGCTTTATTGGTCGTTTTTAGATTCAGTTGTACAGGGTGTCACATTAGTTAGTGTGAGATCTCATGACAGGGTGATGCTACAAAACAAACGAGAAAACAAAATTGTTTGCTTGTTTAATGTGCATAACACAGAAGTATTTTGTGTATACAGTGCGCTCCAATAAAAAATCACTGTTTGCATATGTCAACAAGTCTATTTCATTAATTTATATTCTTTTGTAGATGATTAGTGTACATTTAAGCTTACTTTAGGATCCTGTGATTATTTGACAATATTCTACAGGGTATTTGCAATACTGTAGACAAAACCAGAAACCTGAAACAATCATATCTCATTTCAAAGTTCGAAATTTCGTCAAAATCGGAATTGCATTGCAATTTGAGATAGGGATTTTGGAAAATTGTTTACAAAATTTGAGGGAGCATACCAGAAAACCTGTATTACGGTTTCCAAGGAAGAAACGCAAATTTTGAGACTCAGCTCCCAACGTGATTACATAAGAAATGCTATATAAAATAAGTTTTTTCGCCTACAGTGTTGGTCAATAAAGAAGACGGAATAATCAGATGTGTCGCATGTACACTGTGTTCTATTTTGGTTGAGAGTGCAGTGTATCTCAGCTGTTTTTAAAGATAGAGTTTTCAAGATCCTGCACCACAATTTTGTAAAAGTTAATACCACAAACAGAATCAATCTAGTTACGTTTGTTTGTGAGGTACAGGGTGAAAACGAAAAGTTGACTTTTTAAGATGTAATCCTATCTTACTATCCATGTAAGAAAGAAAAAAGGCTGGCATATTTTAGATATTTTATTTGACCAAATGTTGGTATTTTTTTAATGCAACATTCTGTATATCTCAGATTTTGCATACGCATGCCTTTAGTGGTGGCAAGTTATACTTAAACTATCTCATTGTATTCTAATTAAAGGTCTCAATGAAAGGAACCGTTTTCTACCAACTACTGCCCTTTTTTCTGTCCTCTTATCAAAGTACGGGGGGAGGGCGGGGGGTGGAACTAGTTTTATCCTTCATGGTACTCTAATGAAAGGTCTCAACGAAAGGAATTAATTTCTTCCAACCATAGCCCTCCTCCTCGACCTCTTATCGTGATCGAGTATATTCCCTTATACCTCAAGAACGGATTGTCGGAAGAGGGTACTCACAAAGAGCGATTGAGACGTCTGCAAGAACTATATCCATTGGTCATGTCAAAACAAAAGCTATTTCGGTTAAACAAATGCGCTTTATCTGCACAAGAGTTGTGCACCATTTATACTCGTTTAATTTTAGCTTTGAAAAGCGTATTTCTTTACTGTTTTTAAATAGTAGGCCATGGATTCATGGGGATTTTGTTTTGTTTATTGTATTCATGGTAATTAAAGCATCTGATATAATGAATAAAAATGGCTGAACGTAGAAACAATTCAAAATTTTGAAAAATATGATATAATATAATATATAACTATATAAAAAAATATAGGTTGTGACGCTTCAATGTAACCAGGAAAAATGTTGAAAAAAATTGACGTTAAAATATACAGGGTGTTGCATTTGAAATATAGCAACTTAAATTACGATTATACTCTATGTTTCTCAATTGACACCCAATTTTGTCTGGAATCTTTCTCCAACAATCAAACTACTTTATGAGTCCAATCAAATTTATTGATAGCTCTAAATCAACCCCACATTGACCATTCTTACCGTCTACTCTGTCATTGACATTCAAGGAGCGAGGTACTACACTTGGTTTGATTTGTAAGTTGCGCATCAAATGTATTAATAATACGGTACAAACGGAACGACTCCTCCCACTTAATAGGTAGTTAAAAATCACGTACCTTACAAAAGGCTAATAAATTATGTTGGTATTTGTTCGTGGTTTTATTGCTTTGTCATTACTTATTACCAAGAAATATGAATGAAGTAGAGTATCTGATTGTGTGTGAATTATCTTAAGTTTACCATTGAATTATTTTCATATTCAAAAGATACTTCCAGACAGGAGTCTTTATTTAGGAATTTTAGGAATTTTTTAAAAGTTGAATCAAAAATCTGCTCCCAAAAATTTAACCAATATATCTATTCCCGATTATCTTATTGAGGGAAAGAAAAACGAATATGATTCAATAAAAAGTTAACTCATTGATGCCCCTATCAAGAGGAGAAATAAAACATCATATTACCACTTTCTTTATTTCTAAATGCGGAAAGAATCACCGAAAAAAATATAAATTTGCAAAGAAAGTTCATTACGAAATTAATATTTTAGTTTCTGTTAAGTATTTTGAATGTTTAGATATTGCCCCACTTTGGGCGCCATATAAATAATGCTGTGGCCCCACGTTCGGCGACAAGTAAATAGTGTGTAATGGTATGCAGTCAAAAATACCATCCAAGAGACACCCACCTAGAGCTCAAATTACACCATTTACTTATTATTTATTAAACTAAAGGGGTATTCATAGGAAATACATCTAAATGAGGGTAAGAATCGAATGTTAAATATAAATGAAATATAAATCTGGAATTTTAAATTGTTAAAAAAAAAGAACGTTACACACGTTATGTGTAAGTATATGGAACTTGGTAAAAGTAAAGTGATAAAAAATAAGAAACGAATGTGGATAAGGGCCCATTTTTCAAAACCGCATGGTTAAAAAATCATTTTTAAAAACAAAAGTTATGAAATGAAATTAAATATGCACGCGGACCGTTTTTATATGTGAATCAACAAAGGTGTCCAACAAGCGCATAACATTAGGTACTAGATCCCTGCTTAAGCTGAAGCACTAGCGCGCAGTCGTGTCCTAGCAGGTTAACGTCTTATACATGTTCTTCAGCCACCATTGGCTAGAATTTCTACCAGTAACTCAACGCGCTTTCGTCTAGTGCTTTAGCTTAACGCGAGTCGCGGGTATACGAAATTCGTATTTGTCAAAATTAGGCTTAACACTTCCATAAAATGTTCCATCAGATTGACATATGACAAAATGTTTAGACATATTTGAAAGTCACCTTAAAAATTAACATTTTCAAAATGCGTTGTATCATTGAAACTATAACCGAGTTTACATATTTAGAAAACATTTTAATGGGACTTTCTGATGCTCTAAAAAAGAAATTGGGCATACACAACCTTGTATTAAGAAAATTTCCCTTGGCATCTGCCACCGACATTTCCGCATGGGAACAAAGAAACGGTGTGCAGATGCCACAAGACTTACATGCCTTTTACTCGTCGTCTGACGGTTTCAATTTTGAATGGACGCATACCTACGACGGAGATGCAGATAATACTGTTAATGGCTCAATTAAAATTAACTCACTTCATGACATGGTGCCGATATTTGGTTTTCAAACGTCGATGGAACCTGGAGTTAGATTAAATACAGAACGTTACGAAATGAAATTATCGATTGAAAGTCGATTATTCATACTGGATACAATTCCTCAACGGGGCCATGTAGTTTTGGTATATTTGTACCCTATCTACGTACCCACCATTTGGTTATTGACGGCAGATATGGCTTTGTACTTTTTGGCGAACGATGTTGCAACCTATCTGCGTATGGCCATTTCTCATTTGGGCATTTCAAATTGGCAATTTATCTACACACCGAACGGCGTCCCACAATGGACCGAAAATGTAATCAGACAACTTGCACCTCATTTGCTGCCATTGAATAAGTCTATAGAAAGAGTCAATCGTGAGCGTGAGATCGATAAGAGTGATAATTGTGCCGAAATTCCCGTAAATAGACTAGATCCGAATTTGTTTGAATCCTGTCCGCGCATCAGCACGGTACCCATACCCATTTTGTTGCCTAATGCCAGAGAATCTGAGAAGTGTAGTCCTAGGAAAAAGGCGTTATGCAAACCTTTGGATCAAGTGTGCAAACCTCGCACGAGGATGTCTTGTGTTAAAAAAAGTCCAAAATAAATGTTTAATATTTGCATTTTTTCTTTCTTATCAGATCGGTTGCTGTAACCTGATGGTTAAATAAAATTGACTAGTGGATATACCTACTTTCCTATGATCAAAAAATTCTTTTTTAATCTAAGAAATTTTCCTTTTGTGATTCTCGGGAGATGTGTATACAGGGTGTCAAACTTGCAGTCGGTCATATTTTCCAAACTAAAAAAGGTATTGAAAATCGTGCAAAACCGTTTCGGGGGTATCGAGGAGGACCCAGAATGACGTTATGAGTGACAACCCCCGTCCCCCGTCCCCCCTCTTCAAAAATCCTAAATGGCAACCCCATACTTGTGACACATAGTTGAAAAGCTAATGAAAAATGCTTTCCAGTGGTACCAATAAAGTTAATATTCATTAAGACAATTTAACAAACATTTAATAATTAACAAAAAAAATAAATAAAAATTAAGCCATGCCTATGTTCAAGATTTGATCGCTAAATTCGAAGAAACAGAATCTGTTATCAATAAAAAAAAAGAAAGCAACCAAGATTGCTTAATGAAGCAGCTCAGGTTAAAGTTCTTGGCCAATTTGCCATAAATCCCTCAATGTCAACATTAGGTTTTTTTGGTTAATTATTAAATTTTTGTTAAATTGTCTGAATGAATATTGACTTTATTGGTACCACTGGAAAGCATTTTTCAGTAGCTTTCAAACGACGTGTTACAAGTAAGGGATTGCTATTTAGGATTTTTGAAGAGGGGAGGTGGTGGTGGGGGATTGTCACTTAACCGTCCTTCTGGTTCACCCTCGATACCCCCGAAACGGTTTTGCGCGATTTTGACTGTTCTGTCAACTATTCTACCAATTATTCTCACCATAATAATAGTAAACAAATCAAAAACATCACAATGTGGATAATGATCCATGGTGAAACTTTCTGGCATCTTTTCTTCCATCCTAATTTTATTAAATCAGATTTTCCGCATTAGTTTCTTCGCCAATTTTATATTTTCAGCTTTGGGTTTTTCGATGTTGCTTTTTTTTGTTCAGAGTTACATTCCTCCTTGTTTTCCATTTTGATCTATTTTTTTATTTGTTAGGTTCATTTGTATTCATGCTTGAGTAGATATACAATGCCGAACATGGACCGGTCCAAGGTCGCACCACCACCTTACGGTGGCTTTGGGAAGTAGATCAATGTGAGGTCGAAAGGTCGCGTGCCACGTGACAATTTGCAAAGTAGGTCAAGGTGAAGCTCAAGGGCATTCGCTTTTAAGGTCATCGTAGATCGACGAGACTCCATTTTTGCGGATTCCCAAGGTCATTAAAGGTCAATGGTCTCATTTTTTGTCCAGTTCCGTTTCGCGTTCACGTTTGGGTTCGCGTTTACATTTTGGGTTCGACTCGCGTTTCGGCAGGATTCCACAAACGACTGTACGTTTTTGCTGATGGCTGCAATGGTTTGCACTCCACGCGAAAATGAAATAGAATATGACAAAATTGAGATAGTTGAATTTTGATCATCTTGAAAATGAAATAGAAGACTACTAAAGTGGAGTCGTTGGTCTCCGATGACTTTAGAATTGAATACCCTTGAGATTCAACTTGGCCCACTTTCCAAGGTCATCGCCTTGTGGCACGCAACCGCTCAACTTAACCTGCTTACTTTCCTGTCCTGTCCAGGTTCAGCATTGTATATCTACTTTGTACACAGGTTGAAAATTTCGTCTGGAACACTGAATATATATCTTCAAACAACCTTTTTTTTTTTAATTTGTGGTCAAGGGGGGTACTTGCACAAATGTGATAAACTGAAAAATTTGAAGAATCTAAAAAACAATCAAAAATGAGACAAGTTTTAAAAACCCAAAAAAACTTCTAGAAACCCAAACATTCAGAGAAATGAATTTACAGAGATGAAATTAAGAAGAATTAATGTGTCTATACTTGAGGGCTAATTCAAAACTAATTTGTGTACACCCGCATAGTTTAGCTGGATTGATTTCAAATTGCCAAGTTAACTTAATATTTGTATTAAAAACTGGTTTGTTAGTTTCGAGGTTGATTACATACCTAATTATTTAATGAAATTATTAATAAACAACGTAAAGTTTAAAAATTAATTTGAAAATTCAGCAGCAAGATTTTTGAGACAAATAATAAAATAATAATAAATAAATAGCGCAACTAGACAACAGTTTAACATAACTGCAACATGCAGTTTTTGGGCTTTCTAACGAAGAACCCCGAACCAAATGGAACCTCGCGAAACTCGAGACACATTAGGAGCAATTTGTAACCACAAGTATTTTTTTTTCTTGTGAAATTAGATCATTTTACAATCTACGATTTTTGGGCTTTCTGATAAAATAAACTCCAAATCTATTGGACTGTCTGAGAAAGGTCCGGAAACTTTTGTTTCAAACTTTTTTTTAAATGAAAAATTGATTTTTTGTCTTAGTAAAAACATTTTTTCTGTTGAATTTTAAATTTTCATTCAATTTGCGATATGCGATTCGAATTTGAGCAGAAAAATTTCTTTTACAAAAAAGTCGTAAATTCAGATTCACACAGGTACAAATTTAATTTTGTGAGTGCACAATAATCTTTTAGTCGAAAACTATATATACAGGGTGCCGATTGTATATATTTCGATAAATAACGATTGCATAGAACATTTTTCTATATAAAACTTGTATAATATTTTATTTTTTATAAGGTAGCATTCAGTTCTTATCATTTCAAAAAACAAATGAGTAACGAAAAACAATCGAATTTTTTTAAATAGCAATGGACCCTTTGACCCTTAGAATTTAGATCATATATATATATATATATATAATCAAAGAAACCTTTTACCCTAAGGTGTAAGGTACATTTAGATCATATTATATGCAAAGATATAGCCTCCCATTTATTTCTAATAGGGAGTATCTGTGCCAACATATCTAACACAGACAGAGATATATTTTGCACCCTAAGTCACATACGCAATAGCATTTACAATGTGTCCAGTGTTATTATGCAACGAGATCAAGATCAAGATCACCAAGGATTTAAAGCGTGCCCAGTTCGCTTTTGTCACCAATTATAAATTCAGTCTTAAAGCACATCTTAGCATTTAACATTTGGCATCGATCCTGGCAAGGATTTAAAATGTGGTCAGTGTGATTTTGTCATCTACAAATCCAATTTTAAAACACATACAAGACCAGTAATCATTTCAAATGCGCCTGGTATGAACTCCAATACCATAAACCCGCCTAGTGCATAAGGAAATAACACGCCGCACGCCAGTGCAATGCTGTGAAACTCAACTCACTGCACATGATCGGTTTTCTACTGTTGGTGATATCTCACATGTTTGCACAGATTTAGTGGCTGTAGGCTATATCTATGGAATACATATCATTTCGTGAAGGGTGGCGCAACCCGAAATTATTCTGAATCGCTAACCAGCTAACCCACTGGACACTATTATTTTTCATTTTGGAAATTTTGTAAAATCTAATCAGTTTTAAGCTAGTTTTAAAGTCCATAGTAAGGAAAATGGCCAATATGTTGAAATTGGAAGATACTCGAAATCGATATGAGATTAAAAAAATTATAGTGTCAGTGCCTAATTTTCTGCTACAATCACAAAAACTCTAAACTGTTGAACTTAGAAGTATTTGAAATGGAGAACACCCACTAAGCAATTCTATTATTAAGATATTTTGAAATGCTGTCTATTTTTTTATATAGTTTCAGTTAACAGCTGTTCTCATTCAACCCACTATACAAACACAAATACTTATGCGCCGCCTGAGATATGAATTGTGAAAACAATGAAATTCTTAGAGCTTTCCCCCAGAATGCATAGGTTTGAATCTATGGTGAAGGTGTAGGAATTTCATGGTTTTACCATTCGCCCCATTTTGAGATATCATTAATTTTGTTTAAAAATTATTGTTCGATTACCGACAATGTTACATTAATGGCGAAGATGCAACAAAATAAAATAAAGTAGAAATTCATAAATAAATTATTATTAAAGCAATTGCAAATGAGAATTAATTAAATATTGATTTAAAAAAATCGAATTGATTTTATTTTAACTGATTTTTTTCTTTCAGGGCAAAGTGGCTCTAAAAGTAGTGATAATGAGCGAAAATCCAATCAGTTTAGCGAAACAAACTTCGGAAATCCAACAGTTGATCCGCTGGTCGTAAATTTTGAAGAAGGTATGCCGATTTGTAACTAACATATTTATTTATTATAGAATATTATAATATTTGTTATTTTTCCGCAAACGGTTTTTTTTGTACATTTTTCATTTTATTGTTGAGAATGTTTTATTTAAATATTTTATTTTGCTTTGTTGTTAACTCTTAACCATACTGTATTCACTATTAATTTGTAAATAATAAACTTTGATTTAATTAATCGTGTGTGCAAAATACTTATCATTTAAAATGCGGCGAGCACCTTCGAGGGTGTTGGTGCTATTTGAAAAACATCGTGAAATGTATTTTTAGATTTTTAAAATTTTTAGGAAAGAGTAGAAATACATCTTTAATAATAATAATTGTTAAGAATTATCATTTCCATTCTATTTTATTTATTTTAAAGAAATGTGGAAGACACGGATCAAATTTACATATTTTCTTAATATTTTAAAAGAGCAAAGATCATTTTGCGGATGTTTACAGTGGTTGTGTTTTAAAAATTTAATTTAAATAGTGTATATACGATTATTATTTAGTGCCTTAATGGTAATTTATGTACAGCGTGCACTCTTAATATATGATAAAATACGGAGTGTGTCATACATACGATATACAAGGAACATCTAAATGCTTCTTTGGAAATGTGTAAATTTGGTTTTAATTTTATATAAATAATCTAGAATTAGGAGATATGGAGCAATTGTGTGCATGACGATCCTAACCAATAACAATAACTCACTTAGTGCAAGGCTTACAATAAGTCTAAAGTTATGAGATTGAATATTTGGCGATTATAAATTGCATTTTGTAGAGTGTCTGGTCGTATCATTAGATAAGTAAGTGTAACTATTTACTTAAAAAAAGAAGGAAAGAAAAATGGTGTGTTTATACTAAACGGTTATAACTTAAGTGATAAGTAGCATAATATAAATGTATTAAATAATATTTATATAGTGTTATTGCTGTGTACATGAGAACCGTACTCGAATGAGAAAAATTTTTGCTATACTACAAAGACTGTATAATTATTACTTATTTATAAAATAGCTAGAATAAAAAATTCGTTTGATATCATACGCAGATCAATAATTCTTCTAGTCTGATGATAAAGACAATTTTTTGTTTCGATTTTTTGAGGTGGTAGATAAAATTTTTTGTTATAATTTATTCTAATAAGCATACTTTGTTGAATATTGTTATTTTTAGTATTGATTTTTGTAGCCATTAAACTGTAAAAAGGTTTTGTACTTTTGTTATCTTACACTGCAAGAATGCACTGCAGATTAATTACATTCTATTTAATTCTAATTACTTAGTAAAATTAAATTCATAACTAATGTGGTGTATTCTTGCAGAGTCTGACAATGAATCTGCTCCAACCAATTCTCCCGCTAAGCCTAATCAGACGCGAGTAGTTAAAGTGAAAACGTTAGAAGAAATTCGCCTAGAAAAGGTTCAAGCGGAATCTGCCGCGTACTATTTTTATCCAGGTAAATATTTTTGCGATCATTCTAATGGTATAAAGAGGGTACTAGTAGTGTAGATTAAAGTGCCTACTGCTCGAGCAAATTTGTGATATTTTATTATTAGAGATGTGTGCTTTCAGGGAAGCTTATATTTATCATTGTGGGAATTTTACATGAAAAATTGATTTTTTATAAGGGAATTTGTAGCAAATGTCTAGTGAGTGAGTTAGCAGATTCTTAAGAATTTTGAATTGCGCCACAGCCTACTAATTTCCACGGCGAGTATCAGGGAACATTTTTGTAACTCAGTGTTGTCATATTTTTAATTTTTTTTTTAGTTTATTTTTGAGCAATAAAAATGCTACACTAGATCTCGGAACTGGAAGTACTAGAAAGCAAGTCTTCCTTGATAGATAATGATACAAGAAATAATGTTTGCGTACTAGTTCGATGAGATTTTCAAATTTGAGCAAAATCTTCAATTATGCACCAATTTCGGTGGGAAAACGTTTTGTGGGAGATGTTACATACTTTCCATCTTTCTCGGGATTGGAGACAACGTATGTGTATGCTGTACAAGCTACTGGATCCAAATGTGTTTTATTTTTGAAATGTGAGAGTAAGTTTGTTTTTATTTTTAAGCAGACATTAACATTTATTATTGAATGTATTGCGCCGATACATACAGGGTGAGTTTTTGTATCATTTTCACTATGGGGATCTCGTAAACCGTAAGTAAGAGATAGAAAGTCGCTTGAATCTGCAAAGATACGCAGAATTTTATGCTAACTAATTTTCCCTTTCAAAGTTTCTTGTAGCTCCACCAATAGTGAAGTTATAACTAAAAAAAACCAAAAACGAAAAATGTCGTTTCCCAAAATGCCCTAGCGTTCAACAAATAATTTTAACAAACCCATAGTAATTTTTTCTCGGCTGTCTCATTTTTATCACTTGTGAGACGTCATATTGGATTTTTACGTCATTCGATAGAGAAAACATTACAAAATCAGCGATACTAAACACTTAGTGTTTGATTTAAGAATCAATTTTAAATTTTTGCCTTTAAGTTTACAATGTATTTGTTATAGCAATAATTCCATGGCTTTGTTGATGGTGACTGTGAGACAATAAACAAATGAATTTGGTTTCAATCACAAGCAGCTATGCAATAGGCCCTAGGGAGAATTCACATTTTTAGATTTTGCTATAAATGGGTTCTACTCACTTTATTAATACATATAGCACTTTTAAAAAAATCGAAAAAAAATTATTAACTACTTAAGAGGAAATTTCTGATCGCCAACTGCGAGAGGCTAGAAAACGTACCCTGCAGCGAGACTGCTCACTCTGACGTCAGTAGCGCGCTATGTAAAGTTGCTTATAATAAATGAATGAAAGTCGTTTAAAATGAATATATTGCCATTCAATAAGTGCAAGTAAATGAATAAAGAATGGTGCAAGAGATATATGATCGCACCGCTAACAAAAAAAAAGGAAATTCTATTTTTTCACGTTAGTTACAGGACGTTACGGTTTAATATTACTTACTTTAAATTCAATTTATAACTATTGCGGCCCATGTTGTTGGATTAACTCTCAATGGGGTAGAATCGATCAATGAATGGATTGTTACGGTTGTTTATAATAATCATTGACTTTAAATTTATGTAGTTTTGGTCACGTACCTACGCAAGGGGCGGTGTTGGGCTAGTACTACGTACTTCATATGACATACCTTCATCGCCAATAAATATGGCCTGCAATAAACCTTAGTTTACGAAATGATGAAGATATGAAATCTGCTCGTCGTTCGTCTAATCGTTGCTGTGTAGCTACCACGCGTGCGGCTCAGGTTCGATTCCCGCCGATTCAGAAATTGGTACTGCTTTTTTTAAAACGAGAATGTCATTTATCTATTACTACCCTCTTTTTAAGCATACCTTAATATCTTTGATTTGATTTAATATAACTGATTTCTTTTTTTAAGGGTCAGACGAATCGCGATCATTAGAAATGGAGAGTGCAGACGATCTTCGGCAGAGAATATTGAAAAGGCTAAATATTAAAACGGACGAAGTTCCTGCGCCCCCCACCTTCGAGATATTGAGTCTGGACGAAATTAGAAAGCGCAAAAAAAAATACGGGGACACAGATTTTGAAAATCCGACAGAAGGTGATATCGGCATAAAGGTGAAAAGGCAGAAGGTATTCCTATCAAACAAACCGTCAACCGACATAACCGACATAAAAATTAAAACCTTGGCCGAAATTCGCGCCGAAAAAGGTAAAGGTGTCACTGCGGACGACGGTTGTTTTGAAGTGAGCAGCACCTCAAACCCCGAAGAACTGCAGGAAACGACCGAAGCGCCTGCGCCTCCAAAAATCATTCCAGAAAAACGGCTAAAACGAAAAGTCTCAAGTAGTACTGATTCCAGCAATCCTACCAAAGTTAAATTGAAAAGGATCAAGCTTGCCGCCGATGACGTGGAAAGCACATCACCCGAAGTTCCACACGAGAATAATGACGAATTAGAAGCAGAGAAATCACCGCAACCACAGATACAGGATGCCAATGAAAATGAACGCGACGATGCGATAAATGACGATGTTTCAGAAAACCAATGTGATAAATCTAGCTCAAAGGGTGACATGTCTAAATTGGACGATATTCTGTTATTAGACGATGAAGACATTGAAGATTCTAGTATTAATTTAAAAGCGGAGGAAGACATTTTAAAAGATATAGATGAATTGTTGAATGATTGAATATTTTAATTTAATCCGTACAGAATTTTATAAATATTTTATCTTGTATATTTTGATGAGAAAGATTGTTTTTATTAGTATTATTATCAATTGATGTAAGTAGTCATTACCCAGTAGGTAGGGTACATAATTGAATTTTTTTTGCAAGTGTTTATACCTACTTACAATTATAAATAAATTGCATATTGGAAATTTTCAGTTTATTTTAAATCATACATAACAGTATAAGGTATAGTAAATTGTTGTATTCACAATCCAACCAATAGGAAACGGTAAAGGTACTCGCTGACGCAATTACGGATTTCCATAGCAGATTTTTAGGTGCTAACTGTTGTACATTTTCAAAACGAGTATACTAAGCGATTTAATTTTCTATCTTGCTCTTGATAGGAGGCGTTTATTGCACCAAAGATGAGTCATCCTGTGTATTTCACCATTTCTCAGAATTTTTGGTACCTGCTTACCTGACCTATTGTTTCCAAAACTTGTTTCTAACTTATATATCTATATTAAGTGTTTAATAGCACTAAATAAAGGTAAAAAATCCTTATTCCGATTGTTGACACAATAACTTGGCATGTAGCATGTATGTATGTAGGTACCAGAAAATAATGGCATCTTAGCCACTGCCAAATTGTCACACTCCCGTCAGTGGCGTTGGCGTCAGTTCCATTTACAATTTGAAAAGTAACGAACTTTTAATTTTACCGTTTGTTTGAATCATTTTAGGTAGCACGGTTCTAATGCAAATGGTATTAATAGTGATATTAATTGCACTGACGCAAGAAGTAAATTAATTGGTGTGTAAGTATTTTTTAAAACTCGTAGCCTAGTATTTCTATGTAAGGTATTGTGTTTTAGGGAAACTGGAGATTTAACCACCCACTTTTCAGGGCATTATGGAAAGAACTCGAATCCCGGTCTCTGCTAACAAAACTGTTACGCAACGACCTGCCAGAGGGGGCTTATCTCGTCGCTCAAACTCTTGTATGGATCTTCGCAACTATGGCACGACGCCTCACACAACGCCCCTGTCAAATTGGAATGCTCAATCGACAAGTAAAATTAACGAAATTGCTAGGAGGCAGGTATCTGTAAAGCCTACTTTGAAATCCGTTCCACAAAGAGGTGCGACCACTGCTTCGACAGTAAAGGTGGGAAGTAAGAGGCCAGCACCCCCTGTATCGGCGCCTACCAACGCGAAGGTGTCACGACCTCCAAAAATCCCGGCCTATGATTACAAGGCACGGTTCAATTCTTTGTTGGAAAAACACAAAGTTGTACAGCAAGCGTCCCAAGATAAAGATGCTGCACTTGCCGCTGCGCAGAGCCAGTGCGAAAAATTGACAGAAAATGAAAAGATACTTGAAAGTGCACTCGATCAATCAAGACGGTGGGACCTAGAAAAGGTGGCGAAGTTAAACGAATTAAACTCCACAGTGGCTGCTCTTCAACAGATTGTGCTAGAAAAGGATGCTGCATTTGCCGACGTCCAAGGTCAGTGTGAAAAACTAGCAGAACAAAACAAGAAGCTTCAAAGTGATTTGGATCAATTAAATCAAGATGCCACAGAAAAAGCAGAAAAATTAAGCCAATTAAATTACATAGTATCTACCCTTGAGCAAACCGGACGTGAAAAAGATGCCGCGCTTGCGGCTGCCCACTGTACATGTGAAAAATTAACTGAAAAAACAAATGAGCTTTTAAGTGATTTGGAACAATCGAAACGAGTTGGTGTGGACAATGAGTTAAAAATTAAGGAATTAACTGCTACAGTGTGTGCACTTGAACAGGATCTGTTGAAAACTCGGGAAACTAACTTGGCCCAAGAAAAGTTGATAGAGTTTTATGGGACTACTATCCAAGAACACGAGGATGTTCGTCGTATTATGCACAACCAAATTCAAGATCTGAAAGGTACTATAAAAATAATTTTTATTATTATATTAATCTCAATAACATCTTAAAAAGCTATAGCATTTTAACAATACTACTTTTCTAACACTCTCCTCTAATTATGTCCATGAACCTAGCAGAGCAAGGTCAGCAGATCACAAGCAAACATATTGCATAATTAGGTGCTAATTAAGTGCCGTATTCCCGAATTAAATGCTCCTTTTTTTAAAAAATTATTACATGTTCTGCCAGGTTCATATGAACTCAGCAGAACACTACCTTTAAAACCCAAGAAAATGAAAAGTGAACTAACTATAATTAGGTACTAATTAGGGTTTTTAAGGTAGTGTTCTGCTGTGTTCATATGAACCTGGCAAAACATATGTAAATAATTAAAAAAAAAGAAGCATTTAATTCGGGAATAGGGCACTTAATTAGCACCTAATTATAGTTAGTTCACTATTCATTTTCTTGGTTTTTTGAGGTAGTGTTCTGCTGAATTCATATGAACCTGGCAAAACATGTAATAATTTAAAAAAAAGGAGCATTTAATTTGGGAATAGGGCACTTAATTAGCACATAATTAGCACCTAATTATGCAATAAGTTTGATTGTGTTCTGCTGACCTTGGTCTGCTAGGTTCATGGACATCCTCTAATTGAATTACCTACATGTTTCTATAATTCATCTATTTTTTTAATTATAATAATGATTTGAGTACATGTAGTAGGCAATCAATCCATCTGTCATTAGACAAATGTAAGCGCCTTGCACAATAACATGCGAATCAATTATTATTATTATTTAAACAGAACTTGAGACCTTTAACAACATTGAACTTAAAATTTAAATTGCAAAAAACAAACTCTGCAACCAAATTTACACTTTAAAAAAATGGATATTTCCTCAGATATTTCGCATACAGGGTGACCCATTATCTCGCCCATTGTTATTATTATAAGATACGAGCCTAAACAAAACGTCTGCATGACGTTGTTTACACAACATCTACAATCTTGAAGCATATATGGTGAACCATAATTCGATTTGAATAAATACACAGTTCGAAAGTGAATTTGAGTACTTTCAAATTGTATGATTTCTAGTGTATTTTCTCATATGTTGGATGCGCTGTTGCAGTTACATTCTCTGTCTGCTTGCCGCTGTGAGCGCCGCAACGGCATTTTGTTTTCAAATAGTAACGCAACATTTTTATTAAATTATACGAAACAGTTTCACAATTATTAATTATATGTTGCCCTGTGACATTATAATGAAATTTAAATTTTAAAAAAAGACAACGGCGCCTGGTGTTCCCGCCGGACGTTACTTAACTTCGGTCATCAGACGGCAGACAATTGTCAATTATGTTATATGTACCAATAACAAATTGACCATAATTAATAATTGTTTAAGATATAACTCGAGATATAGGTAACATCCAAATTACATTGAATTGATTCTGTAAGGTTGCTGTGAGAATTTCAACAATTTAGTGTTTAATTATAAAGCGGCGCATTCAAATATCAGCAAATTAATATGACTTTTGGCAGTGTACATTAGGCATAAAGAATGTAAGACGACTGTCAAAAACTTTTTTTTTAATATTTGGTTTGATCTACGAAGCTGTTCTTTCAAGAATTTGGCACCTGGTTTTTTGTTTTATTTTTTTACTGAATTTTTATTTCATTCTGCTCATACCAGCGTCGAGTGCTATTATTTTGTATATTTCCGTATTTCCGTATTGTTTTCATTTCGCTCGAAATATGATTGCCCCATCTGCGCCGAGCGTTGCTTTTTTCTTCAATTTTACTTCTTTATTTTTTTTATTCCGCCGAGCGCTGTTCTTTTTTTATTATTTTATTCCGCTTGAAATGGAATTGCACTGGCAAAAAGGCTTAAAAAACTCTATACAAAAATTCATTACAGTTTTTTGCGAGTTTCTTAGTTTTTGAGAAGTTTTGAATGGAAAGGTTAAACTATTTATTATATTTTTCTAAATTTGTATTTTTCTCGAAAAGTAAGCATCAGAGTGCAAAATGTTAATTACGTGTCTTGATGTGATATACAAAAAAATCTTTGTGTCGGGTTCAAAATAAAGGCGCCAGAGGGCATTTTCTAAATGTTATACTATGACCAAAGATAATTGCAATGACTATCTTAAAAGTAGTCCGAAAGTCAGGAGTTTACCTGATAACTAGTTTTATTTCTTACAGTGGGTTTCCGATTTTTAAATTTCTTTTGATTCCTCTCAAAATGGGATTGTCCCACCAGCGCCGAATGGTACTCTTTTGTTTAATGTGTATTACTTTTTCTCGTTTTGTTTTCATTCCGCTTGATATGGGATTGATGGAGCAGCTGCTCATTTTTAATTTTTGCCAGCGCTGCCGAATGTTGCTCTTTTGTTTTTTTATTTTTTTTTTAAATTCTTTAGTTTTTATTTTTTTTCATTTTGCTCGAAATGGGAGCCCTCTACCAGCACCGTATCTCCATCTTAGACAAAATACTTAAAGAAAATCAATAAAAAAGTAATTTAGTGTTTTTTTTTTAATTTTTTTATTGTGCTTGCATATGGCGGTTTAAATTTATTTAGCAGAATGCAAGACTGGTCCAGTCCAGCAAAAATGTGTACACCTACTTCGAATTCTGCGAAGTCCTCACAGTGCTGCCTATTTTAGATATTTTTACGTAAAATTCAGTGGTGTAGTCAAAAAAATGTTTGGACCGCCGTTTCTGAGATTTGACCCAATGTTGGTATTTTGTATGTATCACATCAGCATATATCTCGGCTTATATTTTTTTAAATTTTGGCGATGAAAATCAATAAAATCCGTATTTTTTACTGTTTTTAAATAGTAGGCCATAGGTTCATGGAGATTTTGTTTTGTTTATTGTATCTATGGTAACTAAGGCACCCGATACTAATCAATAAAAATGGCTGACGGTATACATGTGTCATTTCAAAATTTAAAAAAATATAATATTGTAATATATATATTTATATAAAAAATATATAGGTTGTGATACATCAAAGTAGTCAGGAAAAATAATGCACATAAATTTACGTGAAGATATACAGGGTGATGCATTTAAAAAAGACAAAATTTCTACAAGGAAGCACCACCCACTCTTTTTAAAATAAATCCCACTATATGATAAAGTTGTTTAACTTGTTGTCGTTAGAGTTCACCACCTGCAACCAACAAGTATTTAAAAATAAAATTAAAAATTTCTTACAGGATAACACGTTTTATTCTCACGTTCATGCGGCTAGATTCACTTAAGCAATCCAACTCAATGTTGTTTGTACCTGCACGTAAAGTTTGTTATTTTTTCCCTCTGTATGACGTTTCAATGGCTGTAATACACAGTTCTAAGAATAAAGATCTTTATTATTATGGTCGGTGTTTCTTGTGAGAACTCAGGTCTAGCCTGGTTAACTAATCGCACGGATTAAAATCAAGTAACGATTAGTGTCTGTGTCTAGTGAAGTTATGTAGGGTTCTAAAGAAAAATAAAAATTAAAAAATAAAATAAATATTCGCACACTCACATTGGACATCTAGGGATAGTATGTAATTCGTACTTACCAACGCCAACGCTATCAGGAAAGAGGAAAACAAAACAAAACAAAAAAAATCATTATTATAATTCCTGTAATTTTATTAAATGGAGTTTATTGTGTAAGTGTTTCTTTGGCTTTGCGTTTGGGTTGAATACGAGTGGGTTGTGATAACGTGGTGTGTTTCTGTGAAGAAGGAGTTTTGTGTTTTTTAACTGTGCTAGGACGTGTAACTTTATTGGGTGGACCTGTCTTTGTAGTACATGTTGCGTTACTTGTATTTATGGTGTTTCTTTGTTCTTGAGGTTGTATTTGTGAGGTTGCTTGGGTTATTGATGGAGATATTACAGTATTTTGTGAGCTAGTAGTGCTGTATAGGTTTTGCGTTTGGGTTGAATACGAGTGGGTTGTGATAACGTGGTGTGCTTCGGTGAAGAAGGAGTTATGTGTTTTTTAACTGTGCTAGGGCGTGTAACTTTATTGGGTGGACCTGTCTTTGTAGTGCATGTTGCGTTACTTGTATTTATGGTGTTTCTTTGTTCTTGAGGTTGTATTTGTGAGGTTGCTTGGGTTTTTGGTGGAGATATTACAGTATTTTGTGAGCTAGTAGTGCTGTTTAGATTTTTGCGCTTCGGTTGAATACGAGTGGGTTGTTTCTGAGAAGTAGAAGTATTGTGTTTTTTAACTGTGCTAGAGCGTGTAACTTTATTGGGTGGACCTGTCTTTGTGGTGCATGTTGTGTTACTTGTATTTATCGTGGTTCTTTGTTTTTGAGGTTGTATTTGTGAGGTTGCTTGGGTGTTTGGTGGAGATATTCCAGTATGTTGTGAGCCTGTAGTGCTGTTAAGGTTTTTGCGTTTCGGTTGAATACGAGTGGGTTGCTTCTGAGAAGTAGAAGTATTGTGTTTTTTAACTGTGCTAGGGCGTGTAACTTTATTGGGTGGACCTGTCTTTGTAGTGCATGTTGCGTTACTTGTATTTCTTGTGTTTCTTTGTTCTTGAGGTTGTATTTGTGTGGTTGCTTGGGTTATTGGTGGAGACGTTACAGTATTTTGTGAGCCTGTAGTGCTGTTAAGGTTGTTGCGTTTGGGTTGAGTACGAGTGGGTTGTGATAACGTGGTGTGTTTCTGAGAAGAAAGAGTATTGTGTTTTTTAGCTGTGCTAGGCCGTGTTACTTTATTGGGTGAGGACGTCTTTGTAGTGCATGTTGCGTTACTTGTATTTATTGCGTTTGTTTGTTCAGGAAGTTGTGTTTGTGTGGTTGGTTGAGTTAAGGGTGGAGATATTACAGTATGTTGTGTGTCATGTTGTGAGTCTAAAGTGCTGTTTAGGCTTTTGCGTTTGGGTTGAATACTAATGGGTATTATTATTATTATGGTCGGTGTTTCTTGTGAGAACTCAGGTCTAGCCTGGTTAACTAATCGCACGGATTAAAATCAAGTAACGATTAGTGTCTGTGTCTGGTGAAGTTATGTAGGGTTCTAAAGAAAAAAAAAAAAAAAATATTCACACACTCGCATTGGAAATCTACGGATAGTATGTAATTCATACTTACCAACATAGCTATTAATGGCCACAATAGTCAACGCTATCAGGAAAGAAGAAAACAAAACAAAAATATCATTATAATAATTCCTGTAATTTTATTAATAGAGTTTATTGTGTAAGTGTTTCTTTGGCTTTGCGTTTGGGTTGAATACGAGTGGGTTGTGATAACGTGGTGTGTTTATGTGAAGAAGGAGTTTTGTGTTTTTTAATTGTATTTATGGTGTTTCTTTGTTCCTGAGGTCGTATTTGTGAGGTTGTTTGGGTTTTTGGTGGAGATATTGCAGTATTTTGTGAGCCTGTGGTGCTGTTAAGGTTTTTGCGCTTCGGTTGTATACGAGTGGGTTGTGACAATGTGGTGTGTTTCTGTGAAGAAGGAGTTATGTGTTTTTTAAGTGTGCTAGGGCGTGTAACTTTATTGGGTGGACCTGTTTTTGTAGTGCATGTTGCGTTACTTGTATTTATGGTGTTTCTTTGTTCTTGACGTTGTATTTGTGTGGTTGCTTGGGTTTTTGGTGGGGGTATTACAGTATGTTGTGAGCATGTAGTTCTGTTAAGGTTTTCACGTTTCGGTTGAATCCGAGTTGGTTGTGATAATGTGGTGTGTTTCTGTGAAGAAGGAGTTTTGTGTTTTTTAATTGTGCTAGGACGTGTAACTTTATTGGGTGGACCTGTCTTTGTAGTGCAAGTTGCGTTACTTGTATTTGTGGTGTTTCTTTGTTCTTGAGGTTGTATTTGTGTGGTTGCTTGGGTTTTTGGTGGAGATATTGCAGTATTTTGTGAGCTAGTAGTGCTGTCAAGGTGAGCCTCTAGTGCTGTTAAGGTTGCTGCGTTTGCGTTGAGTACTAGTGGGTTGTGATAACGAGGTGTGTTTCTGAGAGGAAAGAGTATTGTGTTTTTTAGCTGTGCTAGGCCGTGTAACTTTATTGGGTGAGGGCGTCTTTGTAGTGCATGTTGCGTTACTTGTATTTATTGCGTTTGTTTGTTCAGGAAGTTGTGTTTGTGTGGTTGGTTGAGTTAAGGGTGGAGATATTACAGTATGTTGTGTGTCATGTTGTGAGTCTAAAGTGCTGTTTAGGCTTTTGCGTTTGGGTTGAATACTAATGGGTCGTGATAATGTGGTTTGCTTCAGAGGTGAATCTTATTATTATTATTATTATTATTATTACCAACTTTGAGTCAAATCTCAGAAAGCGTAAACCAAAAATTTGTTTGACTGACGAAGTCAGGATTCTACCTAAACATAAGCCCATCAGCCCTTATATTTCAAATTTGAGCAAAACATCTCAAAAACTGTAGGAAATATAGAGAAAGAACTTAAAGCAATGTTGAAATTTTAGTACTCTGTAGATGGGTAATGAACTAGGTTTGGCGAGATACTAAAAATTTGTCAAATATAGTTTATATATGTGACATTACAATCTATCCGCTCGCATATTGAAATTTCCGGTATGACTTCCGGTTTATCCGGAAATTGATGCAACAACCAGTTGTCTGTGCAACAACATAAAATATGCATATTATTTTATTTATTTATTTTGCCTTTATTTTTATTTTATATGGTTGGTATACAAAAAATGGAGAAATTCGTGATGCAATATTTAGAAAATTTATGAAATCTAGCATTCCCTGTGCCATATCCTTAGACCATATAGTACATGGACTGCTATTATCCCTATGCTTTCAATACAAAATGGGTGGTCACGGATAGAGGGCACTGTAGTCGTGGGTATGTGAATCTCAGGGTAAACTAACGCCGTATGAACACCACTCGGATCGCGTAAAGAGTAGCTTTTATGGGAACCGCGTAGTACGGGAAGCTTTAAATACCCTTGATTATCTTCTATACGTCCACAAATACGGATAGGTTTGCTTTTTTGGCATATCTAGGCGATTAATTAATTGACGTTTGTTAATTTATAGGTTGACAGTCTCAAATCGTATCTAATCGCACAACTTCGGACAGACTCGTTTACCCTGAAACTCACATACCCAGGCGATGTCCTTGACCATATTTTCGTTACAATTAGCAGTCCATGTACTATATGGTCTAAGGCCATATCACACAGCCAACAATAACTTCAATGTTTCGATTTGAAGATTTACTTTTGCACGATACAATGTCCTCGTGCAATGCAACAGGAATCGCGCATCCTGATATTCATGTAATTGTTTCCACTGTTGGAATTTTAAAATTAAATCTAGCATTGAGTACAACAAGGAAAGCCAGCTGAATATTTGATCCAAATGCAGCAAACACATCTTTTAATATTCTATTTTTTTTTCCAACAGGTACAATTCGCGTATTTTGTCGTGTTCGGCCACCATTACCATCAGAAGAAGAGAAACCTTTGTACAGTATTGCATATGTTGATGAAGCGACGTTGGAAATTAGAAAAACAAAAGACCTTACGCACAATACCAGCAGCAAGACAACGGATGCTCCTTTGGAATTCGTGTTTGACAAAGTTTTTGAGCCGGAAGCATCACAAACTGAAGTGTTTACGGAATTATCGCAGTTAATTCAAAGTGCAATGGATGGATATCACGTGTGCGTCTTTGCGTACGGGCAGACTGGTTCTGGTAAAACCTACACAATGCAAGGTGGCGACTGTTCGTCTCCAGGCATAATTCCGCAAACTGTCGATTTAATATTTAAACTTATTGCAAAATATGAAAAAATTGGTTGGTGTTACACCGTCCAAGCTAGTTTTTTGGAAATTTACAACGAGACTATTCGAGATTTGCTCAACATTCACAACAAAGAGCAGTTGGAGATTCGTTTCAATGAAGGTAGAGGCACCACAGTGACAAATTTGACGACTAAACCTGTCCACTCTCCGCAAGAACTGCACACTTTGATATCGTACGCCACTCAAAACCGTGCAGTTGCAGTTACCAATTACAACGAGCACAGTTCTCGATCGCATGTCGTCGCTAAAATCACTTTATCAGGTGTTCATCTCGATTCAATTTATAGTGGCTCGGTGAGTTTAGTGGACTTAGCTGGATCTGAAAGTGCGAAGACGACTTGTTCCGAACGAATGGCAGAAACTAAAAACATTAATAAGAGTTTGTCCGCTTTGGGATCGGTTATGAATGCGTTGCAAAATAAGGACAGCCACATTCCCTATCGCAATACAAAATTAACGTACTTACTTCAAAGTAGTCTGGGCGGTAATTCGAAAACACTCATGTTTGTTAATATTGCCCCATTTCAAGAGTGCTACGGTGAATCAATTAATGCCCTAAGGTTTGCTTCAAAAGTCAAAGAAGTTAAATTAATGATGAAAAAAAATAAAACTACCATAAAAAATTGAGTTGTGATAAACTTAATTATATGCTTCTCATTTTATGTTTTTGTATATTTATGAATTTGTGTTATAATAGCTTTTATATTAAACAACCATTTTGTATTTTTACTATTTCATGTGATAAATTGGGATGGGATAGACCTCTCCTTGACTCCATTTTTTCTGATCAACTTTAAAAGCCAATTTAAAGATGTGGGCTGATTTGCAAGTAAATTGAAAGTGCCATCAAGTGTTTCAGTTAATAATAATAGCCATTTATTGAGTTGCACATAAAACAGAATGGTTTAAAGTTAAAATTAAGATGCATATTATACATTCAGGAATGTCAGTCTGAAATTCAGTAGAATAGAATATTGGCACTTTCAATGCATTATTATTGATTCAATAAAACAGACACTAAATTATTGTCATGTCTCTGTGGGTATCTACTCCTAGATGTCTGATGATTCACTCGGAAAGTGCTCCGTATTTCAAATTCTACCTCCTTGTCATTTTTTTTTCGTTTTTTCCTCATATTTCACATCAAAATTAAGTTGTACGAACTTAATGAGCACAGAAGATGTACAATATGCCCTAATGCCAAATAACCTTTGTGGTAATTATACTTAAGTACTTTGCATGAGTCATTTTCTGATTTAGTGTTTAGTCTACGTTGCCTCCAGACATACGTAGTAGCCGTGGAACCTCGTGGATGGACACAGCTACTCCCAAAAGGAAGATTGAAGGGCACTATTTTTTATTGATGAATATAGCGGTTTATTTTTGGTTACAAAGAGCGGCTGTTTAGGATCGAGGAATAATTATTATAAATCATTTACATATTACCTTAGTCTATTCTTTACACTATGATATTACGTATAAGTATAGGGTCAAGGGCGAGTGTCCCCAATTTTATGATGAGAATATCTCCGAAAGTAGGTATCAGGGAAAGTATTTAAACAATGATCAGGGCCAGAGTGAAGAGGTGGGATACTGGGAATATTTCCATGGTGTCCTTCTCTTCGGAACCCACTTCAGTGTTCTTACATTAAGCAGTGTAATCAAATCGAGTGAAAGAATGCAATCTTGCAGAACGGCATCATTTTCATTCATATTATTTGCTCTTAAAAGTTCTCAGCTGTTAATGACTTTAAAGTTAATAATTAACCCTAAGTTATTAAAGGCACTCAAAGATATTAAAGGCCCTTAGGATATCATGGAAACTTAAAACTTTTTGAGGATGAGATGTCCGACTTCAAATTTCAAACGACCAGTAGGTACCGTTGGCGTATATAGAGATACCGTTCAAACGACAAGTACCGTTGGCATATAATGAGACACCGTTCTATAGGATTTGCACGTGAAACATACTGTTTAAAAATACAATAATTTTTGATGTCAATATTTTAAAACAATGTTAGTCTGTATAGGAAGGAAATGGTGTGTTGAATTAGCTCTGCCAATGGAAGTTACAGTTTACAATGGTTTTAAAAGATTTAGTTTTACGAGTTTTCCCAAAATGTAGGTATAATATACCTATATCATACTTAGGTACCTACTTATTTTCAATAATACCTAAGTTTTCTACAATAAATTTTGCTTTATTAATACATCTTGTGTGAAGGAAAATAACAAAAGATGGTCAACTACAATTTTCATAAAAAACTTTTAGTTGCAGCGCAGTCTAGAGACAACCGACTGGCGGCATTGATTTCTACTTTAAAAAGTGTCTGAATAATGCTATAGTATATTGAAAGACAAGTGTTACAATGCGACCTATTGTAATACGACTATCTTGTGGCACGAGTGGCGACGCGAAGCGTAGGCACGAGTGTCCGCAAGATAGGAGTATTACAATAAAGCATTGTAACACGCGTTTTTCATACTATTTTTTCTATTTCGGTGCTTTAATTTAATTAAAAAAATCATTATCAGAAACTATAGAGAACATTAGAACTAACATGTTTTATGTTGGGAACACTTTTTATGCCGTTAAGTTTTAGGTTGGCAGCGTAGTAAGACTGACATTTTGAAGTTCAAACATGGAAGTACCCAACGAAGTACCTACTTGTACTAACTAGTAACTGCCAACTTAAGAAATGAGTTACCAAAAAAAACGACTATAATCACTGTCTTTGTACAACTGTTTTCGGCCTAAAACAGTTGTACAAAATCATCATTGTGACACCGAAATAGAAAAAAGCCATTTTGTTCTAGCTTCAAAAATAAAGGAAACAAATTGAAGGAATCAGCCATTTTTCAGTTTTTCTCTAGGGAAAAAACAAAAGACGACAGCTTATATCTGGCAACGGTAATAGAATAAGCATGAAAAAAGAGGGCACGAGTAGGTACCTAAACCGTTTTCGTTTTGTGATAATCCACCCTTATGGTTAGGCAACACACCTTTACATCTGAAACAAAAATATGATATGCTCTGTATATAACCAATCGACCGTTTTGCTCAGATGCCGAATACTAGGGGATTTTCGTAACGAAGCAAGGGGAGAATGGGGAAGATGGCGACGAGGTCGACGGAAGGCATCACGCGTTCCCGGTTATTTTATTCTTGATTATTTTGGTTGTGGTGTTTTGAAGGTGTATTTACAGGTAGTAACCATTTTATTCTTTCTTGTACTAGCTATTAATAATTGAATTTCTTGCCACAATTTGATATTATTTACATTTTTCTGATTTTGCATAAACTACGATATCTGAATCATGGCGTACTCCATGCCTTTGTTTTGAGTACCGTTAGATGAATCGTGTTTGTTATACTGTGCAGGTGATTATGCCATTGTTTTGTTTAATTAAGTATGTATTCCTGTATTCACGAGGAGTTGATTATCAGTGCGATGTTGCTCTGTTCGATTGATTCCGTGAGGGAAGTACCTAATACAGTTTGATTGTTTGCTGTATCTGTTACTTTCTGATTCGTGGCGCGCTGCAGTTCTTGTGCGTTAGCTATACGAAGGGGGGCTCTCTTATTTGATGTTTCGATGTTTGTGTGTGCGAGTGGGTCATTCTGTCTCCGTGGAGTAGGTACCTAATACAGTTCGATCTTTCGCTGTATCTGTTGTCTACTCGTTTCGTGCGGATTGCAGTTCGTAGCATCTTAGCAATGCGAGTAGGGGCCTTCTCATTAACATTTCCACTATTTAAAATATGTTCTGCTTGAGCGATAATCGATTTTCACACGAATACTTGCTATTGGCCATTGGCATTCTCACATGTACTTTTCGTGTTAAATTAAATTATGTTAATGGAAGGCTGATGGAGTAGAGCCACAACATTTACGTGTTTCCTATGTACATGCAGTTTATTTATTTTACGAGTTGTGTTGTCTCAATTGATCGTACAGGTATTTTGATGTGTTTGTGTACTGAATTGATTCATTAGGTTTTCCACTGCATTTAGAATGTCTTGTGTATTTTGTTTTTATGAACTTGTTTAATTGCATTTGATTTGATTATCTGATTTTTATCGTACAATTTGAGATGTTTTATTTATGTGTATTTTCTCTTGCATTTTATTGCTGTAGGTGATTTATTTCATGTATTTGTGTGGCCCATGCCAGGGTTTTAGTCCCGTAGAAGGTTTCCCTGGCAGGGTCTTGTTGTGTGCGTAATATATTTATTTGTTGTTGTCATTTCTTACGCACTGTTAAAAGTTCTGTCTTTTATTTAATTCCCTTTCCGATGATGTCTCACGTGATGTCTGACGTCCCAACTGATTACACAACGTAGGAGTTCATCCATATCGAGCTGACTGCCATCCAAATTCAAAAGTGCCGCGAAACGTCCATCGTTTCGACTTGAAAGGTAGGAGGCTCTGCTTGTAGTTTTTCCCAGAGTTGCCAACGGTAAGTATAGGGTAAGTCAACGTTTTCAGTGTCGGCTTGATAGACCCCTAGGAACATTACTGTTTATCTGCGCTAATAAGAAAGTTACCCATTTAATCCCATCGAAATTGGACCACATCTGTATTTGCTTTCAATGTAAATGTTATTCCTATTTTGATTTGTCCGAGATTGGCCAGTTATTAATTTTAATATGATTGATTAGGGCAGGGATGGGGAAATAAATTTAAAAGAGGGCCACATAAAATAATTTCATCATGTCAGCGAGCCAAAGAGGAGAAAAAAATCAGCTTGACAAAAATTATTCTTTCGATGTCCTGAGTGTGCCAAGGCAATTTCGACTGTTCATTAATTATAGCGTGGAAATTTGGCTCTAAATTAATGGAAGAAATTCGCAAAATGCTCTCAAGATGTTCCTCAGTCATCCTGTTTATCAATTTGTTTTTACGAATATAGACGACTGGTATTAACCGCGGGCCGGATCCAATAATGTCGCGGGCCAGTATTTCTCCATCCCTGGATTAGCGGTTTCCATTCTTTGTGTACGAATCTGCCTTTTTTGAGTGTCATTAACCCTTTCCCCCCGCAGCGAGATAGATTCCGAAGTGGAAACATACTTAGCGGCATCAATCTCCAAATACAACTTTAGTACAGGGCGTTTCAAAAAGAATCATCCGATTTTAAAAATTTATTGCTATTCATCTATAAGTCCGATTTGATAGAACAATGTACTGTTAGTAAGAGGAAGCTCTCGAGTTTCGCGTGGTTTTCGCTAGGTAGCAGTAGCGCGCTTCTGTCAACGCCCAGCTCAGTTATTGTCAAAATGCTAGCTAAGGTGTGGGACGAATTTGAGTATCGCATAGACATATGCCGTGCATCTCAAGGGGGCCATATTGAGCACCTGTAAATGGTGTATAAAAAAACTTTATTAGTTATAAAATTAACCTCATGTCCATATTATTATTAGTATTGAAATTATAAACCTACAAAATCGGATGATTCTTTTTGAAACGCCCTGTATAATAAGGCTACCGTATCCAGGACTTTAGATATCTTCTTGATTGGAGGAGGTCCGGCTAATTAACAATGCATTTTATGTAAGAGATTTCTGAATGTATTCCTTCACAAATGGGAAAGAATTGGAGGTGCTTTTAAATCTACTGGAGCTGGCCGCTCTAGCTCATCAGATTTTTATTAAATTAACGTCAGATTTAAATTATTCAAATTCAAGGGTTACTTCTTCGTTGTGTTGAGCGTTTTCCACAGTTACGTCTCATGCTCCAGATTTTCCCTCTATATTTAACCTCTGTGAACAGTGATTCGGAATTTTCTTTAGCGCGCGCGGTTCTCTGCCCGTTGAGTTCTAGGGGAACACACGGCATTCTTTTGGCTTTAAATTCGTAGCAACTCTTTCGGCTTTTTGAGTATATTTGCGATCCACCTTTCCCATAATAAGTTTGGGCGCGAGTGAGGTTTTTTTCACAACGTAGGGATCCGGTCATTGTTATGTGCGAGATTTGTATTACTACCCTGGTGGTCCGAGTTCGTGTTATTCCCGATTTTATGAGCGCGGGAGCTGTCATCACACTTTTGGTCTTGGTGCCACCGGATTATGTCAGGTTGTTTGTTCTTGTCTTTTGTTACGCACAAAATTCTGCGTTTTATTCAATTCTCTTCCCGATTATGTCTCATGTCCACCGTGCCACCCGGTCTTAGCCGACTACTACCGAGATTCGAAAGGCCGCGAATGCCACGCCACATATTTCTTCATTGAGACTAAACAACTACTAAATGAGAAATGATTTGTGTATTCGAGCAAACATTGTGTTGAATATTGGATACGTTTAGCACCTTAAGATTGTATTTACGTCAATTAAGAACACTTTCTGAAATTTTTAACCGTGAATGATTTATTGCAAATTAGCTCTCATAATATAATCTTCTCGAAGTCAGTTTCTTCATTTTTTTCCGTATTTTATTTACACACAGTAAAAATGAACTTTGAAATAACTGTAATTATAAATATGACTAACTAAACTAATATTCACATTAAGTCTTATGTATAAAAATCACATCCACAAATGTTCTATTTCAACAAAATTTTTCCGGTTGATTCACAATGGTATGTTGCTACAAAACAGAAAATAAACATAATTTAACAATTGGGATCACAATTACAAAAATATCTTGTAACATACGAATTTCGAGTTCACTGACTATTTTATACATTAGTTGCCATTTTTTCGTCTTTTTGAAATCGCCCTCTCGCGTATAAAATTAGAGTTACACTATTTTGGATTTGACCAAATCTCTTATTCAAATTGCTGACTATGAGTAGGAAACATTGATTTATTTAAATACATAGAATTTTCTATCACGAGTGGACTGTTTGCCTAAACCTCAATTGGGGTATTTTGACTATTGAGGGACGATTTAAAAAAGAAGTGTATTTTGTTACTAGTTTCGCTTTTAGTGACTATCGTTTTGTTAATTGCGTTGATAGACAATTATGAATTTCGTGGCGTACTTGTAACCATATTAGAAATAAACTTAAAGAGAATCTTACTCTAATTGCCCCTGTCATTTATGTACATAATCACATTATTAAATAAACCCAAAAATTTTTGGAAGTATAGATTTCGATATTACATAAAGTGATACATATATTTAAATTAAAGCAACATTGCAACTGTCTTTACATCCACCATGGTCACTGGAGACGTGGCCAGTACTGTGCTGACATATCTGCTTGGCCTGGTACTGCAATCGGCACCGATACACCGGGTGATATAAGACCTGGTGAAGTTTGGCGTGAGTAAGTGTTAATCATGAGAAGGGCTTACCAGTGGACGAGCTTCCGTTCGTGTTGTATTGATGGCCGTTCATTTGATAAGGTTGTGTCGGACTACAAGGCGACGGGCGTGAACCATAACCAATACCTAAATCGTAGCTAGGAGGTCTACTCATGCAGTATCCTGTCATCGACGTAGCCATTCCCGGACTATCCCTCTGTTGAAGACAGGAAGCCGGAGATGGACCCATTCCACCGCTTAAACCCCCGTGACCGAATGTCGCCATAGAAGACATAGAACTAAATTTGAATTAATTATTATGAACTTGTCACGTTTTTTGCACTACCTGTATGAATCGGTCATCGCAACAGGAGGCGGAATAGGCGAATACATTGAGGATGGATTGTTAAAGCTGTGCAATCGCGGCGGAGAAGCGGACGGCGCCGGGTGTTCCGTCGGACCGGGCGCTCCTCGACGTTGGTTTCGCAGTTTTTCTTCCCTTCTCCATTTCGCTCTCCTATTAGAAAACCAAACCTGTATCCGAGCTTCTGGCAAACCGATTTTTGCGGCAAGCCGTTCGCGTGCGAATACGTCTGGGTAGTGAGTTCTTTCGAATTCTGAAAATAGGTTCAAGAACTGACATTTTTCTACTAGCATAGCACATTTTTTTAAATTGAAAAGATGCGCTAAAATCGATTTGGCTCATTCTGGGCCTGTGAACACCCGATCATATGTACACTGGTTCCAAAATAAGGCTGTCTATCATGGGGATCTCCGAAACCATAGAAGAGAGGGAAGATGCACAATTAAAGAATTAGTATCGTGCTTTAAAGAAAACCATAAAATTGCGATTAGGTACTTCCGAAGACATGCCAGAAAAATCTAAATTTGCTGATTTCGTTTTTGTTTTACCAAAACTCTCTCATTGCTATATTTTGAGCTGTAATCATTATCAACTTTTTGTCTTTATATGCTCCATAAAAAAAGTACACGCTGTATTGAGTACATTTTTTTATTACAAATACAGCAATATAAGCACACACAAAAAAACAAAAGTTGGAAACTGTTGCTTTCACCAGGATGGTGCACCCGCGCATAACACCCTAATCGTCCGAGAATTCGTATAGGACAAATTTTCCACTTTTCAGGAAATTGCTATTGCTGACATGTAGTGTAGGCACCCACCTTTGAAGTTTGACTATATGCAATAATAGAAATACTCAGAATACTGTAAAATAAGTGGCAACGCCGCCGCACTCTTGCTATAACATCAAAATTTCACAGATTGATAGTATAAGTAGTTTTGATTCAACTAACTATTTCTTTTGTATTTTAAATATGTTAGATTCGAAACATTTTAAAAATAAGAGGGGGTACTGTAACGGAGGCTCGTTTAGGAATGTGAGATTTATTGTTATTATTCATTACAGTCTATATATTTTGTTGCTATTCAGATGCATATCTCGTATATAGGTTGAAATGTCAGCGTGTTGTGGTTATCCAATTGCATTCACATCACGGAACGCATTTTTGGTACATGAGAAGGCATTATAGAACTTTCATTAGAACAAGTCGATTGAGACAGCTTGCGTATCGTAGCGGAAAAGTATCTCGATTGTAACGGGGGCATTAAACAGCGTTTAATTTTTTCTTATTTTTATAGAGATAGGGAAAACTGGACAGGGTGAGATTTGAAGTATTACAGCATAAAGGTATACAGGGTGTCAAAATTAAAAATTCGATTTTTCCCAAAAGTATAAAAATAGCTTTCAAAAGTTGGTGGGCGATCACTTCTCAGCCTGTGCACTTATTCCGTCAATTTGTGATTTGTGGCTGATGTTGTCTTACTGAAGATGCCAACGTTTTTTATTGGACAGAAGAGTGTTCGACTGCTTTTCAGGAGTTGAAAAGGCGTTTAACGACTGCGCCGATACTGTGTTATGCTAGATCGGGCGCGGCGGATAGTGACACCAGCATATATTGTCGCAATTGGAGGTGCATTTTCACAAAAGCAAGATGGAGCGGAAAAAGTTGTTGGATACCTACTTCAGTAAAGTGCTTTCTAAGCCAGAACGAAATGTTTCCTTTATTGTCTATGGAGGTAATGTAAATTAAACTTACTTGATAAGAATGTTTTCTAATATAAATATTCTAATAGAAATAATGAAATTTGAAAAATGGAATTATCCGAATTATCTAAAATAAAGTGGAATTGGAAGAAATATCCTTGAAAAGTTGATGAATCCAAAAAGTAACGATTTCGAAAACACAGAAGAATCTAAAGGCCGTTAGCATTTTCGATAATTTGAATACCTACTTTCAAAATTAAGAAATTGAATTATTAAAAGGGTGTGAAGTTTTGATGATGAATTTGAAGAGTCCGAAAGAATCATAAAAATCTCAATACTTCACTTAAGGAATTCGAAGAAACCCACGAATCTGAAAAATCATAATACTCGTAATAATCTGAAGAATCTTATGGAACTAAAAAATTTCAAGACTAAGTATACAAGATTTAAATAAATTGAAGGAACAGAATAATCGGAAGAATTATACAAAGACGAAAGAAGCGAGGAAAAGAAAAAATTAACTAATCAAAAGAATTTCAAATTGATATATAAAAAAAGGGTACATAACGTTGTTAAGCCCCCCCAGCAACGACAATGAAATTAATAAAAATGTGTAGAAGGTACCTTTCAACAAGAAAGTTTGCGGGAGAAGCCCAACCGTTTGCACAATTTTAATTAAATGTTCACTTTTAGTTTTAGAAGTGACAGCTCCATTTTTTGTAAGAGGTTATGTTAATTTCTTCGTCTACTAAATTGAAATATGCTTGGTTTAATGTATACAGGGTGGCAATTTGAAAACTTCCCCCCCCCCCCTCCCATGTCTTAGTAAATAAACGCGATATTTTAAAAAATCAAAATCCGTTTCGGTAATTCGGCTAGGGAGAATCACAATGACATAGTTTGCGACGCACCCCCTCCAACCCCCTGCGCCCCAGTCACCACAACTTTTAAATCTTAAATAGTGACCCCCCATGTGTGATACGTCGTTGGAAAGCTCCGAACAAATGCTTTCGAGAGGTGCCCCCCTTTCGCATTTTTGATAGGCCGCTCTTTTTGATATCGACTGCCTTTTCCTTATCGAACGCCTTTTCCGTATCAACTGGTTTTTCCGTATCGAACGCTTGTTACCCCCGAGAGGGGAAGGGGTACCTGTCGCATTTTCCATAGGCCGCCTTTTTCGTATCGACCGCCTTTCCTGTATCGAAAACCTTTTTCGTATCGACAGCCTTTTACACTCGCAAGGGGAAGGGACACCTTTCGCATCTTCCATGGGCCGCCGTTTTCGTATCGAACGCCTTTTTCGTATGGACCACCAAACTACACAATTATGTCATAGTATTCATCTACAATGGTACCTATTTAAAATTTGTTTCATAGCATTTACACACACACACAAATCGAAATCTAAATATAAAACACGACCCTGATCGTATAGAAGCACATTAGCAACCAAACGCGCTGTTTCTTTGAAAACAATTCCACGAACTTCCCCCGATTGTTTTATGTTGCAACGATTCCATCTTACAGGATTTAGTGCTCCTCATTTGTTTATTAAATCGTGGAAAAATAACATAACCTCTTAAGAAATCGAAATCGACCCTCAGGAATGTTACGCACTCTTTTATTTATTTATTAGATTAGCAGCCAGCAGCAATTTCCAATAACAGGCTACATTAAGTATAAACTAAAAATCAGGTATGTGAACGTTGTATTTAGATTATGACAAATTTTGAGGTTTTTCCGCAAATTTTTTTGTTGAACACGTTTAATTAAGGTACCTTCTGACCATTTTTATTATATTACGAGTATAATCGTAGCTCGGGGGCGTAATGACGTCATATAACCAAAAATCCAAACAAACGAACTGAAGAAATCGGAAATTTTGGTTTGATGGAAATTCCAATGTTTACCAAATTTCAAAACGTCTAGAAAGGTTTGTCGTGTGTACGTTTGACAGACGAATATGCAAAACTATAAAGAATGGCATGATCCTTAATAAATTGTTCATTATTTAGTAAAAGTCTACCATTTGCCACAACCAGAGCTGGGATGATTACTCAAAAAAAGTACTCGAATACTGGTACTATACAGGGAATTTTTCTTAAATGTATACATATGGGCTATGCACATTTTAAAAAATTGGATCCAATGCATTGGTTTGGGGGGAGGGGGGGGGGGCACATATACACAATTTTCCAAAATTCCTACTCGACGATGGCACACTCCTAACAGGAGTGCGAAAAAAATTTTTGATCCTGAACAACTTTGGTATCTGTATTCTTGGACACATATAATAATAATATCGAATTGAAAATGAGTTATGGGTGGACCTGGTTCCTGGGCAGCTTCTTAAAGATTATGTCAATGGTGAATCCTAGATGCATTTCTTCAGTTTTCATTAGAATTAACATCTTCTTTATTTTACAGGCCAGGATTCATGTAACTAAAATGTTTGTGAATTTCGTGTCTGGGTGAAATTTACTTAAAAATGAGGTTCTTCCATGTTTTTCATAATTCATCCAAAGTGTGTAGGCGAATATTACACTTTAGAAGCATCTGCAACGAAAAATAGACCGACCATCAAACTTTCACGCAAACTGCTGTATGGCAGATGTTTTGTATATAGAAGTTTGACGAGTTGCCTATTTTTCTGTATATACTTTGAAGTTTGAATATAAAATACAGTACCAACCAGAAAGTAAACCAAATTAGTCGCAGTAGTTAGTTTAAATGAGTGAACTGATAAGAAAGAAAAGCACTTTACCTTTCTCTAAATTATCTATTTGGTCGTTTGTAAATGAAGTTCTATTCCTTTGAAGTTTTCGTTTTAGTCTAAGTCTGGCTTGATCGTCATCCGCTCCGGCACTGGATCCAGCATTAGAGTTGTCTCCCGAATTAGTTTCATCGGAGTGGACCCCATCAAGATCGGTAACTGTAATAAAAAAAAAGATAACTAAATTAAAAGAGTAAACGTGCGACTTTTGGCTAAAAGGATAAGTCTTCCTCTAATCTTGTTCATGTGATGCGTAAAGTGTGCGCCTACGAATAAGAGCGAATTGTAGGGGTATATACGTATAAGGGTGGACGCCCGCTTATAGGGTTTGGGTTGTTCCCCTTAAGATAAGACATCCCGATCTGCGTTACGGCGGACGCAGCCAGCCAGAAACTCCCGATAAGGACCTCTGGAATGGGTTCGCTGTGGAGAACTCTATGAACTAGGCGTTTTACCTTTCGACGACGTCCTTTAAATTCGGTTATAACGAGTAAAATTTTTAGCTGTAAATTTTAATAAATATGGAAAAGAAAACATATAATTTAACGACAAAAGCTCGACGAGAAAAGATCTTTTTTAAATGTCCGCGTCAACGCACAATAAATTATTTCAAAAACCCCTGCTCATATTTAAACGGCCACCTTTTTCAATTATATTTGCAATCTAGGCGTTTTCGCCTCAGTGCGTATCCTGAAAACAATTTTTATGCCGACCCATAGGACATGTGTTCGCATTTTTACTGGCAAATGTCGCATTTGTAAGTTTTGTTATGGCAATATTGTATATTTTGTATGGATTTAGATAGATTACAATGGGAAACCATTCAGGCACTCGACATTCTTGTAGAATGTCTTAAAACGCGTTTCAAATATAATTTCATATCCCGTAACTAATATTCATTGTAGCCGCATAATTTCCGTTAAACGAGAATTCTTTTATGGGATTCATCGGGACTAATTATTACGAATTTGAATAGAATACACAATTAGCTCGATCTCTTCTCATCCACCTCTTAAAAACAAATCATTAGTTTGGCAAGGTCAAAACCAATTAGGTAAATGTAGTGTAGATGTTTTTCACATATCTTTCATATACAATACATATTTGATGTGGATAATTATTGTGTCTCTATCTGACAGTACCTACCTAGGTAACTTTATCAACAATAAAGGGGTGGCAGTGATGCAATCGACAATAGCTTGTACTAATGTAAAACATTAATTTTTTGTAAAAAGGGGTGTAAAAGTAATTTTTTCTTCATAAAACATGTAACTAACTAATGATTGTTACGTTGGGTATACAGGCTGCTACATTTGGCTTGTGCCAAAAAAAAATGGGTGATAGAGGGTCAGTTTCTTTCAAATAAACCGGTGGTACGTCTTTGGATAGGATATTGGGTAGGTGTGTATTTTTACCGCAATTCAAAAAATTAAAAATCTGCAATTGTTTATCATATTGTAGCGAATATTATAGAAATCTCGATGGACATCGAGGTGCCATAAACGATTAGTCATCGGTGATAAGAAACGAAAGTGGATGTGACGCATTTTATTCAGGAAAGTTGGTGTTTTTGTTCGAGAACATTTTAAAATACTCGGGAGCGTTTGGAAGCGTTCGCGAATTTTCGAGAAAGAGACCCGTTTGCGATATAAGTAAATCGAATCGCGTTTCAATGGGTTCTAACTAGTGATGTGGATTCTAAAATAATGATTTCTAAATTACATAAAAAACTGTTATATTACGCGTAACTTACAAGAGGTCGGTTTTTTAATGTATCTAATTTATGTCTCTTATGAAATTTACGTAACTTACGTTTTTTATTTAAAAAACCGTAATTTTTGTACAGTTACGATTCACCGTTGAATCTAGTTTGGTTTGATGAAGATGATACAGCATGTAATTCGCGATCCGGATCTTCTCCAAACGATGCGTGATGGCGAAATACCTACTACTTTGGTATTTTATTGAATACACCAAAATATATAATTTAACAAGTGTTTTTATTTTCAAACACTCACAAAATTCAAAAAGGTTTATGGAATATTTAAAAAAACATAAAAAAACATAAATGACAGGTAATTTTACAAAAATATTTGTAATTTACGTAAAAAACATAAATTACTGGTAATTGTACTGTAAAATTAAGGTTTTTTTTTTAAAAAATGGTAAGTTACATAAATTACATAAAATATCATAAAAAACATAAACAATTGGTAATTTTACACTTCAAATATTCAATGATAAAGAGTTCGCGCTCGAGTTATGTTATAAATTGTAAGTGATAACTAATAATTGATAGTTATAAATTACTGCCACATAGGCATCAACTAATTTTTTTTCCTTGCCGGTGCAAGTACTTATTGCAGATTGCAATTCAATTGAAAAAATAAGAAACAGCGTACTCGAAAACATAGTAAATCCGTTACAGTTACACCCCCATGGACCAGAAATCTTCCCTTCATCAATACCGATCTATGCAAATATAAAAAGGCAGAAATTCCTAATTCAGTACATAAACAGTCCTTTCTCAACCTGATAAGTCACTTAAACTCGGACCGTATCCTATATACTGATGGGTCCAAAGTAGATGAAGATGTTAGCTGCTCAGTCACCACAGAAAAGACGACTATAGCGAGGTATAGACTTCCAAGTTTTTGCAGTATACATACTGGGGAACTCTACGGAATTCTCATGGCCATCAAAACACTCAAGGATGAAAGTCAGAAGGTCATCATATGCACAGACTCCCTAGCATCAATCCAGTCTGTAGAGAATGTATATACAGAAAATCCGATAGCTCAGCGTATCCAAGATGAATGCAGTAACCTTCATGCCAGAAATATAAATATAACCATTGTATGGACACCATCCCATGTTGGAATCAGAGGCAACGAAAAAGCGGATCAAGCTGCGAAAGAGACCTTTACACTCAACCTACCAAGAGAAAAGATACAGCTTAAGAATGACCTCAAAAATCTTTTCAAGGAAAAAGTAGTTACAAAATGGCAGAATATTTGGAGTCAAGCAAAGACGAAACTTTCAAGTATAAGACCCGACGTGTCCAGTTATGACCTACCTAATATGAGCAGAAGGGACACCATGATAATTCGCAGGTTACGGATGGGGCACACCAGATTAACACATGGCCATCTAATGGAAGCTAAAGATCCACCCGCATGTGAGCATTGCAACACAGTCCTGACAGTAAAGCACATCCTTATAGACTGCCCAGAATACGCGGACATTAGAAAACGACACGACCTAAAACCAGAGCTTAGAGAAGTTCTAACAAATAGTTTCCAGAACGTTATCAATTTCCTTAAAGATGCTAAATAGTCTAATGTAAAATGTAAATTTTTCCTCAATTTTCCTTTTCTGTTAATTTTTGTGTTTTGTATATATCACTACTGTTCTAAATTAATTACTTATAACATGTGCCAATGGCCTATGGTTGTCGAGGCACTCAAACCAAATAAAATAAAAAAAAAATCAAACCGCGAGTAAATAAACGGATATTAAAACTCATTTTGATAAAAAGAGATTTTTAAAAAAAGCAAGTGCTTCAAAGTTGGATAGGGCCTTGTGCGATAAATAAAATGTACCCAACGGCATGGAATTTAAAGACACTTAATCGACCCGCAACAAAAATAAGTGATAAATTGGACAACATTAGTATCAACCTCGAGTGTTATTTTTCTAGAATTTGAAACCGGTTTGTTTAGATTCGCAATACGTATGGACATTTTTCTTTGCATTCATCACGGAGTCATCTATACCATCGAACCGACGTGTTTCCATATTCCTAAAGGAACCGACATCTTCCCGGGAGAGATAAGACCCATTGTATCCTAAAAGGAAACTCATCCATCAGTTACTGTAAGTCACTTTAGATTCGTTGATTTGTATATAGTAGTGGCCGATTATTTTTAGAAATTTTCGTATTAATTTTGTTTGAAGTAATTTGAATATTCCTAAAGGAATCGACCTATGAGAACCATTTGCATGAACAGACGTTGTATTGTACTTATTGGTAATAATCGAATCTAAAAAAAGGATTTTGGTCATTTTTTTTCATTGATAGGGGAGAGATAAGACCCATTGTATCCTAAAAGGAATCTCATCCATCAGTTACTGTAAGTTATTTTAAAATCGTTGATTTGTATATAGTAGTGGTCGATTATTTTTAGGAATTTGCGTATTAATTTTGTTTGAAGTAATTTGAATATTCCTAAAGGAATCGACCTATGAGAACCATTTGCATGAACAGACGTTGTATTGTACTTATTGGTAATAATCGAATCTAAAAAAAGGATTTTGGTCATTTTTTTTCATTGATAGGGGAGAGATAAGACCCATTGTATCCTAAAAGGAATCTCATCCATCAGTTACTGTAAGTTATTTTAAAATCGTTGATTTGTATATAGTAGTGGTCGATTATTTTTAGGAATTTGCGTATTAATTTTGTTTGAAGTAATTTGAATATTCCTAAAGGAATCGACCTATGAGAACCATTTGCATGAACAGACGTATTGTACTTATTAGTAATAATGGAATCTAAACATAGGATTTTGGTCATTTTTGCAGTTAAACAGGAGAATGTACCAGTAATTCATTATGTAGTAAAGATAAAATTTAGCATGGACACGTGATCATAAAATATATATGCCCTTTTTTGTATTTGTATTTGTTTTTATGAATCAAACCAATATTTTACATCCAGAAACGGGTAAAGAAAAATAGAATTTGACTGTCTTTGATTTTGCTAATATATTTAATCAACTACATAGACATGCGTATTTATTCGAGGGCAATCAAATCAGAGCATTAGACTTTGGATTTCAGATTTTAAGAGGAGATTAGAGGCCAAACTTCCGCAAGGTAAGAGGTATAAGAACATTTTTTATTACTGAGCTAGCCGTGGGCAAATTAAAAATTAGTTGTCACAGTAAAATTTGTGCCAGTGCCGTAGAGGTTCAAGTTTATTTTATGGAAATGACATCTTCGATGCTTGTAAATGTAACTAATCCTTATAGGGTTTACAGAAAGAAGACATTCTCAACACTGACGGCGTTCGAGTTGTTTGATTGACGTTTTGATTTATGTTAGTTATTCGTGATCTTACTCGCGTTTTAGTTTCGAGTTTTTGGATTTTATGCCGTCAAAGTGAATTTTTGTGTTTTATCGGTGTCCAGCTTCACAGTCACCCAAGTTCGACGTAATAACAGTTAATGTCGACCTAACCTAAACTGCACTAAAAAATCACTACCACAACAATTAAAGAACTAGCTTTTAAATTTAATAAGAAGACGTAGAGTAATTTTACGACCTGCGTACAGCGGAAAAGGAGTAGGTAATGGTGGGGAAAGTAAGGGTTTAATTTTAAATTTAAGGTTTTTGTTATTGTTTTAAAAAAAAATTTCACGTGTGTTTACGAACACAGTAAATGTTGAGTATCATTTCATTTTGGGCAAGCCGAGTGGTTATTTCGAAATTGTTTACTCGAACTTTACACTCAAACTGTGGCCATTCATCGCGAATTATTTACTTTTTAAACCAACTTTGCTCTTGCAGTCATTAAAATAGCGTACGGATAAAATTTACTCTACCCGTCTTTTTTCTTTGTGCTTCGCTATTTATATTGTCGTAGAGAAAAAGTGAAACGAAGCCAACGCAAATTTTGTGGGCGCGTCTCTTTTAAACCAATAGCAAACCAGCATTTTTGTTTTACTCTGCGTTTTTGTCTCGACTAAAACGGAACCGCCGAAGCAGTAAACTTCACCGCTACCTTGGAATCCACGCGTTGTATAAATGCGCACGTTTATCGCTAATAAACAGACTCGAGAGTCGAGAGTATAATAATTATGTGTTCGCCCGCTCGTTTTTAAAACAAACTTTTTTCGGTGCGTGCTGCTGATCTGAAATTTTAGTAGAAGGAGCATTCCAGTGGTGACCAATTTTACTATAGGCGCAAATACAAATTAATTAGGGGCCAAAGCAAATTTATTTTGCCATATTTGTTGCAGAAAGATATTTTTTTTCAAAAAGCATTTGTTATCACAGAAATACAATTTTGTTAATTTTTCCACGTGCCAATGCAAAATTGTCTCTCTGTCGATCTTTAAAAGTGAAAATTGATATTGTTTCAAATGTGGCTATCTCAACAATTATTTGTTGTTCGATGCCAATGAAACAAATCTTAAATATGATTAATCAAAATATCAAATATGTAATAAAATACATTTTATTATTATGTCTCCGAATAGTCGTAAAACGCACTGCCACATAATAAACAAGAGAAACAAATGGTATAAAAAATTAGGACAAAAATTGGTCGGCAGTAAAATTTATTGCAATCACTATATCATAATTAGTATCGACTTTTCATAAATATATTTTTTTATTTCACGACCAATATCATTTATTTTATTAATTTTAACATATGGAACTCTCTGAATAGGCATCTTCGCTTTTATTTGTCTAGATTGGAAGCTCAACGAACCACGAAATTGTTTTTTGTTTATTATAATTAATTATCGATATCGATATTTTTGTACTTTTGCAAACTTTTCTGCCAATTATTATCTTTGTCGTAATAAATGTATTCAAAAGCTCACAAATTCGGGTACGTGAGTATAATATCCATAACAGTGTATAACAATGCAAGCCAAAAAAAGAGGGAAGGAACTTAACACCAGCACCCTCAGTTAAAATTTATCGTATAATTTAGTCTAAAGAGTGCTAAGTATACCTATACTAACTATAAAATATGGCAACCCTCATAATAATAGATTATTCCTATACCGAATTAGTATTGTCGGTGACAACTCGGTGTGAATGCATTTACTAATAAAGCATATAAGGGTTGTTGTTACAATCGGAAATATGTCGAGTTGAAATTGAGATCGCTGTTAAGTGACCTTAAGTTGGTAGTACCTTTTTCAAAGTGAAATATGAAACTATATTGCGCTAAATTGCGTTCAAAGAGACCCTTAACTATAACAAAAAGCTTGTAATTTATCCTTTAGCAGTCAATTTGGAGTGAAATTAAATGCGACTATTGTCGTTTACGCTCGCTTTCCCTTGTTTTCTTAATTAATGAAGTTAAAGTTAATTCCGAACAGAGTGAAATATCTACCTTTCTGGCGGCACTTGAATTTTGGAAAGAATACGCGCGTTTTCAAATAGCAAACAACCTCCGGATTTATTCCCATTATTCTGTGCAAAGATGATCTTTGTGTTGTGTCCTCAGTATCTACTTCCACCTGGTATCCAAAAATATTCTGAACCAGCCGAGCTCTCAGTTAAATGATGGTATACTTAGCGTTTCAGATCGTCCATATATAATTTTAAAAAAAATCTCAGTCGTTTTCAGTTGCTCAGTTACCATGATTATATTACGGACAATAAGATCAAGTATAAATTGTGCACAACTTTTGTGCAGATAAAGCGCATTTTTTTTTAAACAAAATGGTTTTTGATTTGACATCATCAATGGATATATTCCTTGCATTCCCTTTCTGAGTACCCTCTTCCGACAATCCGTTCTTGAGATATAAGGGAATGTCCCCGATCACGATAAGAGGTTGAGGAGGACGACTATGGCTGGTAGAAATTAATTCCTTTTGTTGAGACCTTTCATTAGAGTACCATGAAGGATAAAACTAGTTCTACCCCCCCCACCCCCTCGTACTTTGATTAGAGGATAGAAACAAGGGCAGTAGTTGGTAGAAAACGATTCCTTTCGTTGTGACCTTTAATTAGAATACAATGAGAGATAAAATTTATCCTTTAGTGGTGCCAAGTTAAACTTTAGAAAATTGGGGGGGGGGGACACATGTTCTACCCTTCATGGTATTCTAATGAAAGGTCTCATCGAAATAAATTGGTTTGTACAAACTATTTTCCCGTGCGACTCTTTTTCGACATCAGTGAGCGACGCGGCCTGAGGAGGGGGGAGGGGGTTAAAAATTAATTTTATCTGTCATTGTATTCTAATTAAAGGTCTCAACGAAAAGAACAGTTTTATACAAACTACTGCCCTTCTTTTTGTCCTCTTATCAAAGTACGGGGCGGAGGGGGAATGGGGGGAATGGAACTTCAT